TAATCTTTTTCCGACCTGTCCTCAGGGTTAACAGGGATTCCCAGGTCTCCTGTACGCAGTTTACGAGTCAGGTCTTCAATCTGCAGTTGGACTGGAAGAATTCAGGTTAGGAAAGAAAAACAAGGATGGAGAGAAATGTGGTTACCACAACAACATCAGAGAGACAACGCTCTGCACATTAGAGCACTGTCTCAAACATTACTGAGGTAAAGACAAATGGTGAGTCTGTTAAATAAAAAGGAGATCAAATAAACATCTCATAAGCATCTAAAGCATGAAACCACTTACTCATTTTGAGGACGAGAGGCACACATTACCCCAGTATGAATATGTTCTAAAGGTCATTTACATTAGCATTATCAAGACTAAACTTCATTCAGACAATGATTAAACATGGCAACATGTCAGTAAATGAAGAGACCATGATTCCTAAAAATGCCTGCCATACCATTAATACTTCAAACCCGTGCTGAGGTTTTCTTCCATGAAGACAGAGCTTCACTGACTAGAGTGTATGGTCTTTAAAGGCTTTGGCATTTTAAGGACACATTGGGTCTAAAAATCACTGATTGGTCTATTTGTTTTGCAAGTTTTAACAACAAAACAGGTGATCAGTCACTTTTTGCACTCCACAGATCTAACACTGAGAGACTGCAGTGACAGGAATAATTCTTACATTTAGAAGGTAATAAAAAAAATAACTCAATCAGTCATCCCATGCACATTATGAAATTTGTAATGAAATTTCTCCCCCCGAACACAGAAATTCACTGGGCATTGAAATAATTATACTGGGTTAGAATACAGGGCCTGTGACTTGTAGTTCACAGCAATTTCATCTCAAAACACTTCCCTTGTATTGTTATCGGGGATCTACTGAATGAGCAAAGGAAACGATAAGTGTGACAACAGAGGGTGGGCACAAATGAATGCTTACATACCAAGGAAGAACAACCATTACCAATGAGTGGACAACATCAATAATGATGTTAGTTATTGACAGAAGGACTCATCTGCTTCAGAACACCCGTGGAGGGCCTGTGAAGGCAGTATGTTGGTGCTACACTGCTGCTGGAAGGCATTTGTGCTTAAAATGACTTGTTTTATGTGATCATTCTTTTTTAGAACAGGCCAAACTATGAGCACAATCACAGTCATAAGTTACATAAATATGTGGGATTAATTTGCCATTGAAGCAGCATTGCTCACACTTTAAACCAATATAAACAGAGCACACTTTAGCAATGTTAGGACATTATGAGTAACGCCTCCATGCACAGGAACAATACTGATGATGTGTAGGGGATCAAGCAAGACGTGAGCAGTGACCTGCAGCTCAATACAGATATCAGCAAGCAGTGGTGTTTAATCATCTATCTCAAACCCCTCTTGCTAATGGGTGCCCAATGGTATGCAAACCGTAAGATTACAGAGTACAGCAAAATCACTTAGCCTCCACTGAAGAAAGTCAACGTACTTAATACTTTACATCAACAAATTATACTCATTGATCATCAGAAATGATTGCTTTGTCTCAACAGTTGGAGCAAAATTAGACATTTCCCATTTTGTGAAATACATGTTACAGTAAACACAGTGGAAATGTAATAAAGAGTCTTTAGTTAGTAATGCTTCTTGTAGGTGCCTTTAGATAGCTCTAACTGTTGGGAATTCAGCGAACAGGTCATTAATTAATATAGGTATGCAACATGTAAGAAAACTACAACTTCAAACAAAAGTAATTGATGAGACATATTAGAAAAGAAGTTGCATTTATAAATTACATGGCAAACTTCACTAATGAAAAAAAAAAGTAGCATTTACCTATATATGCTCTCTCTTGATCTCGGGTCAGGCCAGGGGGGATGACAGTGGGCATGCCTGGTATGACCGTCTTCTGATCAGGCGTCTCGCTGCTCCAACGGCTCTTCTTCCTTTGCTTCTTCTGACCGAAATCTACGCAGAAAAACGAAATGTATTAAGTCGGCTGTAGCTGTGATGCCTTACGTTACAAGTTAAACGTCAATTAAAGCGCCGCTCCGTGCCTTTCTAGAGTGAACGAACCACCTACAACCACTAGAAGCTCAACTGAATGTAACAAGGAACTTGTGGCAAATTAATTTCTTTTTTAAATGACACGCTCATGTGGTAGACGTACTCACTATTCAGGAATAGCGACCAGCTATGGCTTTGACATTGATTACATAGAAAATAGTTTGACATTACGTTGTTAATAAACAACATAACACGAGGCAGCAAGCCAACGCTATGTGCTTATTTCAATGGTAATTCGATATTTTACGACTTTTAAAACCACTTAAACATTAGTTCTGTCTGCAAATTCTGACACTGGAATAGGAAAGTCTCAGCTAATGCTTTAACAGACACAAACATTCGTTTGCTAACTAACGCTGGCAAATCTAGTCTCCATTTCGTGCAAGGCCAAGGCTTTGACCCATTAGCGACATTAGCGCTGTTTGGCTAACGTTAACTCATGTCGCCTGCAGTGCTAGCATCGCCAGCGGACGTTTGGTTAACTTACCAGGTTTGGCGAGCCCGGCTCCCGCGGCAGGCTGTTGAGCCTGTGTCGAAAAACTTGACGCTGGATTGAACTGATGTGACGGAGGAAAAGACGGGGTTTGCATGGAAGGCTGGAATCCTTGCAGAGAAGGAAAGGATCCAGGCGGCCCTGGTGTAGGCATCAATCCGTTCCCCGAACCAGGCCCGGCGTCAAATCCTCGTTTTGCACCAATACTGGGGTGCAACTTCCCTAAAGGAGTTGCATTTGCTCCCGTGGCCATATTCTATGTACTAAAACGCCGAAGTCTCTCTTAATCGTCAGTTAGCTTAGGTAGAAATTTGCGTAAGCTAAGAAAATGTCTAACAAAGTATTACCCGCAGTTCTTGTCTCTCCACACTTCAATCAAAATGGCGCCCAACAGAAAATCACAAAGGTTGATCCTTGGAAGAGCCGCTGCAGTGTAAAGCATGCTTATTGGCTGAGCCAAGCCCCTCCCGTTGTTTTCATTCTGAGCAATTATTGGTTAACATGACTATCAATTGAATACGGTTCGTGCGCAGACCCGGAGGGTGCACTTTGTACGCCGCACGTTTCGGGCCGCATTTCTAGGACCCGTGGCGTCCCAAAGGAAGTAACAGCATTGCTTGTCATGGTGGACGACAGTCACAACGTGAGCAGTTGTGAATCGTTTTTTACTGTAGTTGCCCCTGACGAGGGGGGACTATAGAGTAATCGGTCCCATCTGTGTGTCTGCTTTGTTTAACGTTATAAACATTTCTAATGTATTCATTTGTGCAGCAAAGCTGTTATTAACCTACCAAACTATGAACAAATTATTTTTGAACTTGTCATTAAACACTGCAACCGCTCACGTTTTGGCGAATGATAGCTGCTGCAAAAACCAACTCTTAGCTTATTTGCATATTTGTATAATTGAGTCATAGCGTGATTTTTGCAGCTCAGCTCCAGATGATGATAATAATTATAGCCAGCATATTAATTAAAACTTCATCAGATGAAAAAAACATGTTAAAAATAATAACTATCTGCCAACTATATTATGCAACAATAACCTTCAGTGTGAATGCTTGTTTGTTACACATTGTTTTACAGTTTTATTATGTTAATATTTTTTATGTTTTCCTCTGCATCAATGCTCTATCTACTGGCATGTTAATATCTATCTCTGTGTGTCTCTCTCAGGAGGTTGTGAGATCAGCGATGGGAGTCTCAGAGTTGTTGCTTTTTTTTAAAAAAATGTTCTTGTATAAAATAAATATATATATATATGCCTCTGAAGTCGTCTGTGTGTATTGCCTCTTTACAGCCTTTCAAACCATCCTGTTTGAGATCTAATGACTACAAAGGCCACAGCATATGAGGCTATTGGTATTTTACCTAATAATGACATAAGTATGTTAATTAAACAATTTCCAAATGCAATTCTTAGCAACCAAGTTTATTGTAAGAAGTAATTTTTAAATTTTGGGTGGAAGCACTATTTGGGTGGGATGGTGTTCTCAGACTTGCAAGCATCCCCCTCCTTCCTCCAAATGGAACAATAGTCATTATGGCCAAACAGTTACATTTTAGTTTCATCAGACCAAAGGACATGTCTTCAAAAATTAAGGTCTTTGTCCCTGTGGGTATTTGCAAACTATAATCTGGCTTTTTTATGTTGCATTTGGAGTTATGGCTTCTTCCTCTCCGAGTAGCCTTTCAGCCCATGTCAGTACAGGACTTGTTTCACTGTGGATAATGATACTCTCTTACCAGCTTCAGCAGCATCTTCACAAGGTCTTTGCTTTTGTTGAGGGGATGATACGCAAATTTCTCACCAAAACATGTTCATCTCTGGAACACAGAATCCGCCTCCTTCCTGAGCGGTATGATGGCTGGACATTCCCATGGTGTTTATGCTTGCGCATAATTGTTTGAACAGGTGTGGAACCTTCAGGAAACTGTACCCAAGGAAGAACCAGACTAGTGGAGGTCCACAGTTCTCTTCCTGATAACTTTGCTGATTTCTTTAGATTTTCCCATGTTGTCACAAAAGGCAGTAGTGTGTTTGAGGTGTGCCTCTGTTGAACTCAAATGTTTTCAATTAACCTATCAAAAGCTTCCAACGCTATGACATTATCATCTGGGCTTTCCCTAATAGTCTGAATGCATAGGTATATGAAAACTTCTGACTTTAAGGAATAGAATAGAATAAAACTTTATTAAGGAAAGTAAACAGTACATGCTATATGGATAACAAGAGTACCAATTTGATGTAGTGCATGTCACTCTATTTTTTATTGCAATATCCTGTCAGCAATATAAATTGCATTAATGCACAACTTTTTCATATGTATCAGCAAATGAAGTGGTTCTCCACCTTCTGCTTTGAGTAACTGGTGCACTTTGTTGTGAATGCCAATGTTTATACCACTCTTTAGGGTACCAGAAGACTCAGGACAAACCACACAAGTCAGTCTTCAAACTTTAGACAGACTTTAATTTTAATCTAACAGTGAGAAATCAAGGGGGACAGAATAAGCAATTGAGGACATTTAATTATGATATTACAAGATGTTGAAAATATGTAGCCTCATATTTATAACAGCAATGAAATTAAATGTAATTTAAGTAATGCACCTACTAACAACAAAACAAAAAAGCAAGATTACAATGCAGCATTATAAAAAAGTTTAACCTAAATCCAAAACTGTAACCATTTTGAAGTCTACACAGGTCCATATTTGGTACAAGTAGGTGAAAAAGCATATAGTATTCACAACTGTTTTGCCGTTGCTTCACATATGCACTAACAATGTGAACTTTCACTAACACAAATACACTAAAATGCACATAGTAACATATTAGATGTTGCTGAATACAATTCAAGTTAACGCAAGACTCACCTTTAAAACATGCACCATGCACTAATTTAATTTTAAAGTGTTCAAAGGGTATATGAACATATATCTCCTATCAGAAGACCAAAGATTCAGGGTTTTTTTTCTTTTCTTTTTTTTTTTTTTTACAGTATCATGAATGGATGAATGGAACCAGGTCGTAGACAAACCCAGTACCTGCACTTACACACTGGCTAAGTCATCTCAGAACTGCACCAATAGCACAACATGTAAATAGCACAATGAAAGATGGTTACAGTGAAGGGAGTAAAAGTATCTGATCTCCTGAATATTTTATGATTTTGGCCACATACAAAAAAAGAAGTGGACTATAACTTTAATAGTAGGTTCATTTTAACTGTAAGAGACAGAATATTAACAAATTATCCAGAAAAAAAATATAGCAGTTAAAAAGTAATTTCCAGTTGATCAAGGGAAGCAAATATTTCATCCCCTTTCTACCAGCAAAGACTGTGGCTCCCACAGATTGATTATGTGGCCAAGAGGCACGCATATTAGCCTATTTTGCTTTCGAAATAAATCATCTGAACTGGTTACGTGTACATGTCTGAAATAAATCTGTCCAAAGAATCACACTTCGCATCTTCAACTGCATCACCATCAACAAGACCAAAGAGCTATCCAAAGACATAAGAGACAAGATTGTAGAGCCTCACATAGCTGGAAGATCCTGAACAAGATCCTCGACAAACTAGTTGGTGAGAGGGTGACAACTGTCTGTCATTCACAGATGGAAGAAACACCAAACAACATTCAATAGCCTCGGTGTGGAGCTCCATGCAAGATCTCACCTCATGCAGCATTTATGATCATCAAAAATGTCAAGGATAATTCCAGAATTTAACTTGAGGAACTTGTCAATGATCTCAAGTCAACTGTGACTACAGTCAACAAGAAAACCATTGGTAACACACTGCATATGAAATTTGGCAGTGCCCACAAGGTCCCCATGCTCAAGGGGGCACATGTGCATGTCCACTTGAAGTTTGCCACTGAACCTTTGTACAATACTCAGGGCGCTTGGGAGAATGTGATTATGTCAGACAAGACCAACATCCATTTGATTTACTGTGTTTAGAGAGAGAAGAATGCTGACTATGACCCTAAGAACACCATCCACAGAGTCAAGCACAGAGGTGGAACCATTATGCTTTGGGGCTATTTCTCTGTCAAGGGTACATGACAACTGCACCGCATCGAAGGAACAATGAATGGGTCGATGTATCGAGAAATCTTGGGTAAGAAACCTCCTTGCCTCAACCAGAGCACTTCAAAATGGGTTGTAGGTGGATCTTCCAGCAAGATGACGACCCAAAGCACATGGACAAGGCAACAAAGAAGTGGCTCAAGAAGAAGCACATTAAATTCATGGAGTGGCCTTGCCAATCTTTAGACCGAAAGTCTTAAGGAACTGGAGAGAATCTGCAAAGAGGAGTGGTCTAAAATACCTCATGAGATGTGTGCAAACCTGGTGACCAACGACAAGAAACATCTGACGTCTGTGCTTGCCAACAAGGGTGACTCCACCAAGTACTAGGTCATGTTTTGCTGGGGATCAAATACTTATTTACTTTGATCAGCTAGAAATTAATTTATGACTGTTATACGTGTTTTCTGGAATTTTTTGTTGTTATTCCGTCTCTTACAGTTAAATTTTTTTTTTAAATTATAGGCCGCTTCTTTTTGTATGTGGCCAAAATCATGAAATATGCAGGGGGTCAAATAGTAATTTCCCTAACTGTAACCGAGTCATTAGTTGTACTGTATGGTGAAGTATAACCTGGAATGAGAGCATAGCATAATGTAAATGCATTCAACCATTCACACTGAAATCTACTCATTGACTACTATGGGCAAAAATTTATTATAACCTTATTCCTACTACCCACCCACACACCTCACATACACAGAGGGCTGACTTGAAAATTGACATACTGCTTAAAGTTTAAACTTCAATGGTTCCAATGGCACTTAGGCTATCCTACCTTCAAAATGTGAGTCAGCTGACACCTGGCTGTAAGGAACAAAGATTAGTATGTATATCGTGCCCGCTCAGCGCCGGGATCCCGCGGATGGTCATAGGTAGAACTTCTTGGAAGGGCGGTCACTGGGGAAAGGCGCGAACGCTCATATGCATATCCATCTGCCTCGGTAGCGACTCTCCGAATCGGACTCCGGTCACGTGCGTAGTATGAGGTGACTGGGGCTGGTGGAGGAGGGAGGGGAGGGCACTCGTATGGGTCGAGGCTAGAGGGGGGCAGACGTTCTCTCATTATAGCTGTGGAAGAGGATGTTGATGGAGCAGGCAAGGGGACACCGCGACGTTCCTCGAAATAACTGCCTCCATACGAATTGGCCCTGTACTTCTCGTAGTAGTCCACGACCCCATACGGATCCCTTTCCTCATAAGGCGACCGTCGCATCGGGTAGGCTGGTACCGCGCCATAGAGTGAGCCGTTGCCCCTGTATGCCGCCTCGCTGCCATACATCCGAGCCATGCTATGATCAGCAACAGCACTTATGCCATAACCTGGGTGTGGCCCATATCTCATTGCGCTCTCATAGCCTGCACCTCTTCTGTACCCTGCCATGCTGCTGCTGCTGTGACCAGAACCCCGGGAAAAACCATGTACAGGAGCATAGCTGCCACCATAATCGGGATCGCCACTGAAGTCCGGATGATAACCCCTGCTGCGACCACGCCCGCCAAATCTCGAGGCATCATATCCATCAGACTTTGGCTCTGAGCCGTTTCTGTGGTAGCCATTTTGGTCTAGAGGGCATTCTTTGGACCAGTGGCCTTCCTGCCCGCAACGATAACAACCCGATCGGTCTCCCATTCCCGGCGCAGTACGCAGGCGGCTAGTCGAAAGCTTCACGCTCATCAGTTTGCCTTAAAAAGAAAAGACTCATTAAGGACTTATGCCTAGACTTATTCTAATATGTTTAACATTTCCTGCATGACATGTAGTGTCAAGTCTCGTAATCCATCAGTCTGTTATAAAGCTGCACTGTACTAGAGCAAAGAGACATAGTTTATAAAAAGATACCTTATTCCTCCCCGTGGGGAAAGTCACATGATTTGATGTATGAAAATACGGGTATTAAAGCTGAAATCCGTAACTTTCTACACATCTTTACCGCTTGCAGGGGCTTAAAGTAACGCAATTTATATTGTTACTGTAGGTTAAATTTCATTATTTGCCCATGTACCGAGGGTTCGCGTGGACCTCACCCGTGCTGCCAAAAATTTTAGATCACATGGACAAATGCATGTTGACATAGCTGTGTGCAAAAACCAAATGATTTCTGAACATGACCGCATGCACATTTGTTTTCAAATAAATCCAGCCCTTACTGGGCCTACTCACCTAAGTTTGGTTTGTGACATACAGAGTTATCTTATTATTTATTACTTCCGATGCAAAATGACCCATACATGGATTAAAAACCTGATCGTTTCCATCATACAGACGGATATTACCAATGACATTACGGATACCAGCTTTAAAAGAATGCTGCCTTTCTGGTTGTAGCTTACTATTATCCCTTGCTCTTTCTCTTTTTACTCACCTGTGCTGCATCCATAACTTACCCGTCAATTCAGAAGAACAGAATTGAATATTGTTGATACCAAAACTTTAATCTAACTTAAACTCCCCATCAAGCCCAGCCCGAGAGTTCACCTTTAAAAGCCGTGTTGTCTAACTGATTAATGGCCTCCATGGCATCCTCCATTCGCTCCATATGAACAAATGCATAGTTTTTTACTATGTCACACTCCAGCACAGTGCCAAACTCTTCAAACTTGGCCCTCAGCTCCTGATTGGTACAGGCGATATTTCCAACATGTAGTTTGGTAGATCCTCTTGACTTGCCACGACTCAATTCAACATTCATAGGCTGGCCATTCAGCTCATAATGGTGAAGGTTGCGGATGGCTTCTTCTGCCTCCGCTTTGTCATCCATGTGTACAAAGCCAAAGTTCTTGACAATAGAGCATTCTGCAATCTTGCCATATTGGGAAAACAGAGAACGAAGTTCATCTGATGTAGTGTCTGGCGACAAGTTCCCAATGAATATTTTCACCATTGTGGAGCTTCCACGTCACTGAGGGAAAAGAAATCAAGATAAGTGGCATTACAATTCTGTTGGATCAATTAAGGTGGTTTAACCTAAATTCATATTTCGATTTTCTTATACTTTTTAAACTTGAGTGCTGATGTACAATCACAAGGCTTTCCTGCACAATTGAAATAATTAAAACCATCACTAAATGATAACCAGTGGATAGGACCCTCACAAGTCTCCAGCTCATGCTGTAATGTCATAACCATCTGCATTACAAATGTCACTCCAATACTACAATAGAACAAATGATGTGGGGATATTGGTGAAAAACAAAAAAAAAGAAAGAAAATGTAACTGAAAATCAGTGGTTTGTTCATTTATCAAAGTAATTTTTTTAAGTTAAAGTTGTAACTCTGCCGCTATGGGGCGCTCTGCGTCCTCGCATACATTTCTTTGACTGTAAGAGGAGTATAAATTGAAAAAAAAGAATAAAGTTTTGTTAGCATGCTGGTTTAAAAGTAGCTTCATGACAACAGCGAAAGACGCATCAAGAAATTCTACAATTGGAGACGATAGTGATGAGTGGATTCCTAACTTCACTTAAGTACAACCATCTTCACCCTCGTGCAAAACACAGCACAGACAATGAATTGTTAATATGTAGCCAGTGTCAGTAACACATAATAACGATGTGATTTTCTTGAGGAGAACCGAAAAGGCTAAACATTCCAAAGGATTGTGGGTTGTTTTTTTGTTTGTTTGTTTTGTTTTGTTTTAACAAAAAAGACACAAATGTCGCGGACCCAGTCGCTCGCGTGATATTCTCTCCATTCATCGAACACGCAGCGAGCTGGGCAGCTATGATTGCTAGCTACAGAGCTAACGAAAAAATAGTCTTGTTTATCAAAACTGTAGCGCAAGAGCTGCAATATATATATCATTGTGTAGTCTTTTAGTCGGTAACGAAGTTATGTAATCTGCTTCTCAGCGCCTTTTGGCTATGGCACGCCTAGCGCTTGTACGTTAGCTTCGCGAATCAATAGGCCTACATTTTACAGCAACCATTTTTGTAACAGGTAACATTGGTAATTGCGGGGCATTTGGTAATTCTGGTAACAAAGATGCTTGTAGCTAATGCCTATTTTGGGGTATTGGAATTCATACCTCTTGAAGCTGTAGTCAACGTCTCGACTCCTCGGAGGATGAAATGGCGACTAGCGTTATTCCGACTGACGTTTTATTATCCTAGCTCGTGACCAGACATGCAGCTAACTCTGCTAGCATTTTATGGGAGGGACCAGCGCCAAATGCTAAGACACGATGGTCATACGGTATACTAGAACATCAACGAAAGCAGCAAAATAGAATAAAATAAGGCATCTTTTTTGGATTTTTTTCCCATTCAAAAGTTTTGAATGGAAAAGTAATCCTCATGTTATGTTTACAAACACTGGTATTACAGTGTTAGTACTCGTGCAGTTATTCAAACCTGGAAGTGCCATCTCTTTATATACTTGCTTAAATATGCTGACTTTAAACAGGTGCTCATGTAAAGTAGCTGTTTATTTTCGATCACAACTCATATTTGAACTACATATGTTAAATGGTCTGCAATTACTATTTACTGCAGGGTTAACAAAGCAACACTGGTCTGCAAGTGACAGGTCTGCTATACCATCTGAATTCTCTTCAGGCTGCAAATCTAGGATGTATGACTAAGGCTTAACAGATATGTTATGCTCTTGATCTTTGGAGTTCGGGGTACAAGTGCGTTTCATTACAGGAAGCATTTATTTTCAAAAGACATTATTTCAGTTAACTCATTTAACAAGGTTTTAATGGCTTGTTATATAACTGACCTACAAATTGTGGCCCTAAAACTGAGTATCTTCTCTGGTGATATTCACACTTTCTATGTACATAAACTTGGAGAAGTAGCATCAAATAGTTGATTGTCCCCTCTGCATTATATAACATGTCTGATGCCATCTACTATTGTATGTACAGCAAAATGACAACTTGATTTTACTTTGATTTGATCAAATGGGGTTTCACACAAAGGATTGAAGAAAGCCTCACCAAAATAAATTTGGTTTTTATTAAAAATCATAATCATTTCAGATTTTGAATGTATGCTGGTTTTTCAGCTAGTATGAAAAATATAAACTTCAACTCCACCTGTATATGCAAAACAAAGGCACCTTCAACGAAACACAAGTGCCTCACAACTTTTACAGCCCAAACCCTGAGTCCCACCTCACATTTCTGTAGCTGCTTATTTTGCATTATATGAATACAATAAACACCCAAGAGTAAAATGAAAGAAATCAGCTATTTTCTGTTATCAGCTACAGGCAAAGTCAGCAACAGTGTCAGCAGGAAGAAAACAGTTGAGATACTTATCTGCACAATGTATGTCAGCTAACATTCTTTTTTTAATGCCACCCAACAACACTTTTATTTGAATATTGACTTCAGATCATCAGACACTTCGTTATAAAAAGAATTATATATTCCGGGGACACATTTTAACACAAATTAAGACGTTGGAATGTTTGACATAGTTTGTTTGTAAACTACCTAAATGCTCGGCCAGGTTAGTTGCCTGGATATGGATTATTTCTCTACTGTCTTCTTTAGTGTGAATCACATGCTACAGAAGGAAAGGTCTGCAGGTTTTCATTCCCACTCGACAGCCTACTGTGTGGTTCACTTGTTTGTGTACAAAGGGAGAAATGTCTGGTTTTAGCCAGGTTAAAACATACCTTAAGAGTCCTGAATTCCTGCAGTCTACTGTTGGATGTCAATGACGCTAATGTTTCACAAACGTTATAGTCAAACATTTCTTTATCCACATCCATGTTAGTGACTCGTGTCAGTTTTAGAGGAGCAACAAAGGATTCTTCAGCACTACAAGCAATCCATCCTAACCCTCTTCTCGCTCAAAAATAAGGTAAGCGTTCATATACTCATGAAACAAGAACACACCTAAATTATATAGACAGAAGCCAAACAATTAACAGAGTTTTCTTCAAGTGATGAACAGATGAAAAAAATAAAAAAAGACATGACTTGAAACTAAAAACTGAATTGAAAACCTGCAGAGCAAGTGAAAAAAATCATTGTTTTATACATCATACATTTTGAACAGTGCCTTGTGCAAATCATCCTTTTCGATAACAGGGTATGTAAACATGACTAAAAGGATGATTCATTTGCAGGCCTCTTAAGTGCCTGGAAGATGATGACACAATTGAATAAGTTTCTTTTGAATTTCTGCTTCTCATATTCTTTGCCGCACATCACACAGACTGATGGAATCGTGTAGCTTGACGAAATGGCAGCAAAGGAAAAGTCCTGCTGTTCACAAACATACCTAGAAAAAGAGCAAAGTATTTGCTTTTCAGAAACAGGGTTAAACACCTCATTATCCGCAGTACAGCTTTAAAGGATTCAGTATGTAACTCACATACATCCATAAATAAATAAGTAAAAATCCAAGTTGAAATGGATTTTGACATCTCAATGCTCAGTGAGATTATATAGGAAAATGTTCCAATAAATTGACATATTTGTTGACGATGTTGCTCACCTGGGCACCATGGCTTTAGTAAGGCGCATAGCGTGGTGCATAATGATCCTTGGGTTGTGAAACAGCATAGGAGCTCCTGGAGGCCGATACTGGTGACACTTGTGTTTGCTCATAGGTATAGCCTGTTGAGGAGACCGGTACTCGTCTATTTGGACTGTGTTCTTGTGCATAGTATGTGGCAGCTGATGAAGGTGGAAGCAGTGACCGGCGGTCATATGGCTCTATACTGGATGGGAGCTTTGAGAGCGAGGTAGGCGGAGGTGGAGGAGGAGGGGGATAGGACATACGACGATCCTCGAAGTAGCTTGAGCCGAAAGGGCGAGCTCTGTACTTCTCATAATAGTCAACACTGTTATAGAGATGGTCACGATCATAAGTTGATGACCTGTCAGCATAGGTGCCTGCTGCTCTGCTGGCATACTGATCTCCCATCTCTGAGCCATAGCTGCTAAGCCTACGGGGGGGAGGTGGCAACCCACCTACGTAACTTGCTCTACTATATGCAGAGCCATCCATATAATCAGCTCCTGGAGGTGAGGCCATGCCGTAGCTACCCCTGCCATAACCAGGGAGACCAGGCGGAGGGGCCCTGCTGCTGCCACCTCTTGTGCCATCACCCTGGCTAACATTCCGACCAACTGGACAGTCTTTCGACCAGTGGCCATGTTTCCCGCAGACAAAACAGCCAGTATGATCTCCCATTCCTGGCGCAGTGCGAAGCCGACTGGTGGACAGTTGTACGCTCATCAGCTTGCCTTGTAAGGAGAGAGAAGACACACATAAGACCATGAGGTCACAATGACTACAAAACACGATAAAAGTATTTGACCGACAGTGGCTGAACGAAGCAAAACAATTCTGCAGTGGCAGGTGCAGGTCATTTTTTTGTCAGTGCAGTGCCTATTCACAAGTTACATGGCCACTGGTTTTACAAGACATTTTTATACGTGATTACTTTCAGTCCAACTAGGAAACAAGATAAAGGTTATCCACTGCCCTTCAGTGACAGAACAGAATCCAAATTTATATCTATAGACAGTAAACACAAGTAGCTCTATCCTGCACAAGAGTTCACCTTTGAAGGCTGTGTTGTCCAGCTTACTGATGGCATCCATGGCATCGTCAATTCGCTCCATGTGAACAAAGGCGTAGTCCTTCACTATGTCACATTCCACCACTGGGCCAAACTCTTCAAACTTGGACCGCAAAACATCACTGGTAACGCCTTCACCAAGATTGCTGACGTGCAGTTTAGTGGTGGACCGAGGCCTCCCTTTGCTCAACTCCACATTCATGCGCCAGTCATGCAACTGGTGCTGATGGAGGCCTTGAATGGCCTGCTCTGCTTCAGTCATGTTGCTCATATGTACAAAACCATAGTTTTTCACAATGTCACATTCTGTGACTTTGCCGTACTTCTCGAAGAGTTCGCGCAGCTCCTCAGGTGTGGTATTGGAGGCAAGGTTGCCAATAAAAATTTTCACCATGATGACGTTTTGTGTATCCTAGAAGATTTGGGAAAAATATGTCAATTGCCACTGTATAACCACAACCAGTATTTTTATTTTAACAATGATGTGACTGTTATCCCTACTGTCTGTCATTGAAAAATGAAGAATAGTAATTGAATATACTCAGTTGCCCCTTTACAAATACAGTCTAATATAACATTCCTAAAACATATCCTATTTAGCAAGGTTATATTATCAGTTTTGGCTTAATGTGATATATAGACTCAATTGTATGGTAATTGGTAGGGTTAAACAAGGTAGGGAAAATATCTATGTGACTTTTTTGACAAATATTGAAATTTGATGTGCTTTCAGCTGTAAAGTTTTTAAAGTTTAGGCTCAATGTTCACTGTGCATCAGATTTAAAATGTGATGAGACCAACCACATGAGATACCATCAAAAGCATGACTGTCATACAAGGAGGATAGCATTTATTTTTAAAACTATTAACAGTTTTAACCCCAGGTCAGATGTGTAGCATAACGAATAATCTAAGTTGCACACTTCATGATTTGCTAACTGCATTGTCAAATTGTCATCCCAACTTACAATCGATATGTTCAGTCCTAGTCAGTAGGAATGCTTTTTATTTGATTTTGTTCATCCCACACATCAATGAACAGACGCAAAATTTAAATTAAAAACCCTGAGTTAAACAGAAAAATAATTACAAATGTCTCTAAGATAGGTTAAAAAAAAAACAACTGACATTGTAACATTTAAAGAGGTGGAATTAGTTGCAAGGTTGTTTTATTAAACTGTATACATTTTAGATAAAGAAGTCCGTGAGACTTCTTTATCTAAAGAGGTGCTTGTATAGACATGATATGTGTCATTAAAACACTAGGGAGACTAACCCTAATCCAATAAGCAAATATAAGTGTCATATGCACACTTAACTGTATAGTAGGGCCGCAGCTAACGATTATTTTTGTTTTGTCGATTTTTAAAAAAATAATAATAAATCGATTAGTTTTTCGGCCTTCAAAATCTAAGAAAATTATGAAAAATGCTGGTTAACGTTTTCCAAAGCCCAAGATAACATCCTCAAATTGAGATATTCAGTTTAGCGTCGAAGTGGAATAAAGAAGGCACATATTCAAATATAAGAGCCTGGAATATAAAAAGTATTCAGATCATTCACATCAATTAGCAAAATAGTTGCCGATAAAGTTAGTAATTGAAAACGATTCCATTAGTGGTTGCAGTTCTATTATACAGTTGAATTAAAACTCAGCTGTTTGATGTGTTAGACGTATACTAGAGGGTGGAGTGGTTTGAACCTATATGTGCAGTCGTACCATTCAACAGAACTAGCTTTATAAACGTCTACTAAATTTAGAGACCAAATAAGATGGACAGACCTCCTCAATCTGGTAGACTTGGGTGCGTGCGAACGGGTCAAATGTGGGTGAAACGAGCTTCGTCCCGCGTCACGCGCGCCTCTCTCCTGTACGAGGGGCCTATGTGACACAGCTATCGGCTAACGGCGTTAGGCCTATTTGGAATTAAACAGAAGAATTACGCTGTCGGCTAGCTCACCAATTCCACATACTACACGACTATAGCATGCTACATCTTTAAACTTAACTCAAGTTTTGAAACACGTTTATTTGACATCAACAACTTTCTGACGTTTGCTAGTGTAAACAATGTAAACATAAGCCCAACGTTAGCTTAAAGCTGGCTAACCTGCGTATGTTACATTACTTACACCATAACAAGTCAAACGCTACGGGCTGAACAGCTTGCTCGTTATAGTCAAAATTAGTCGATAATGTTCAGTGCACAGAACTTCCTAATGCGTCGACAACCAATTGTAATGGCGTTCTAATGTTTGGTTCATGAAGGCGTATGAGTTCAGGAAGCTAAAATGCTAGCCACTTCACGCAGCCGTTGGCCTCGTTATTTCAGCCCATGTCCTTCCGCAGAGCATCTCTATCAACGTTACAAAGACAGTTATCCATCACCAACCCCCTAAAGTATACTTTGGCCTCATGTCTTAATCCACAACTCACCTAAAGCAACGTAGGCCCCGATATCAATGAATGAAAAGTGAAATGGCGATGCTGCAATGGCTTCTTCTACTTCGTCAACCCGCTTCATTACCGCCACCAGCTGAGTGGAAGTATACACTGTCATGCACTCAGTACTTGTCATGTATCTTAAAGAAAGTTATATCACGTCGAAATGTAAGTTTAATTGTTTTAAGAAATTGAGGTTTACTGCGCTCTCAGATTGGGATGTGGCTGCAGGTAAATTATATGACTATAAGTGGCTTAATATGGGCTATTTTCTACTTATAAACCCAAAACAATATACAATATCTAGTATTTCAAGGAGGAAGCTATTCACTGTAGCAGACAAATCACATTGACATTTAAAATACAATTTAGAGCAAAATACTACTCCTGAATGGGGTAAACACTTCCATAGTTGTTTACTTTTTATATTACAAGTTTTCCCTAAATATTATGTTAAACATATGCAAATGATGCATTAAAAATCCTCAAATTTTAACAACCCCTAGAACTGAAATCTGAATTAATCATATTAGATTAAGTAAACCTCTTTTTAACAAATTTTTCGTCTCCTCCTCCTTCTTTTTTTTTTTTTTTGTAGACATATAAAAGTCAACGCTTTTACTGAGGTGATTTGATGTCTCATTTTAGCACTCCATAAACCCACAAAAAAAAAAGAACTTAATGGTTTTAGGAATAAAATGTTCCATAGACCAGACTGTAAAGGATTAACAGACCGCTTTGTAAAAAATAAAATAAAATAAAAAAAACTTCAGACTCTAGATAAGAATAAAACAGAAAAGTTTTGGTAGTTAGCTGGCTGAGTAGAAAAAAAAAGAATTTTGTAAAATTCCATCCATTTTATTAATAAATATCACATTGAAACCTCTTCAGTTTATTACTTACATTTGTCTATTGTGCGCACTGCCCAATGGATTAAATGGATTAAACCTTGATGCTATCTAGTATTCTGTACACTTACAGTTAATCAGAGATCGTTTTTTTGGACCCGTTTATTTTTTGTACAATAATCCAGAAGTGGCAGGCACATTTACGCTACCATCTGCCATTTCAGCTTTGTGATACTATATTTCACAGTAACAAATATTAATAAAATTTCCCTTGTTTTTCCTTTTCCTGTCTAATGATAAGTGGAGCTGCTCATGCTGGCTGACCCAGTGGTTCTCCCTCCTGTCTCCCCCTGTTATTGGTCATTGTCTTTTTATGTTTCTTGGACAGGATGTAACTGTAAAAGTATTTTTTCTGTAAAGGGACCAATAAAGTATTGTCTTCATCTTATCTTATCTTCATAACAATGATATACAGCCATACAGAGAAGGATTGAGAAATTGTTCCCCATTGGTTTGAAGTAATTATTGCAAATGTGATTTTCATTGAAGTTTTAATGGCTGCCTACTGCAGTGGACACTCTACTTGAAATTCAATCAACAAATACACTTTCAAATCAACTAAGATGTTCAATTAGTGACAAAACAGAACACTGTTTGTAACAACATGATATTCAACATTTCTGTCTTAGTTATTAGACTGAAAAAAACAACAACTTTATCTTTGCTTTATCTTTAAGTTGATCTCTTTTTGTGTTTTTAATGAGTAACAGAGAAAGACAATACAAAGTTAATTTCAAAAGCAAACAAAAAAATCTACTTGACTAGGAAACCCTTCTTTAAAAAAACGCCATCACCATGCTTTCAGTTGAAATTACTCCCAATCACAATTTATTCTTTTCTTTGAGTTATTGAAAAATCTTTCCATATATTCAACAGAAAAATAATTCAATCTGCTTCAGCTTCAAAGGATATTAAAGTCTTTATTTTTCATATTACAACCTCTCCACGCTGTAAGAGCATACTGTATTGTTATATACATAACATCTGCACACAATAACAATAAAAACATCTTAAAAAACAAATATCCATATGCATATTCTGTCTTTCAAGTATCTCTCAGGGACAGATGGGTGTTATACAGGTCCCTTTCCATAAATAACATAAATATCATTACACACAAAACTTTAATGTAGTGGAATTTACATTTTAGTCAAACAAGCACAAGTATCTTTAATTGCATTCACTTACTATGGCACCTCATGTATTTGAATGTACATTTATCCTATGTGTAAGTTGAATTATTTAGGAAGAAGGACATACAGTCATGTTTTAATGGTGTGCTTGGCACCTATTTGTGACTCTTCAAAATTCAAATACTTGGGGATCTCTCAACATTGTGACACAAAATGTAAAATCTGCCATGCTAGCACATTCACAAGATTTTAAGATGTATTTTAATGTGGTACTCGCTAAAAATATACATTTGAAAAGTGATTTTGCTTATGTTTGCGCTAACATTCTGCTGCTTTAAGCCAGCCACATCTAGGTAATGCCTTTGATGACTTTGCTGTAGATCTCTTTTATTTGTTTTCCTAAAAACCCACAACATACTGTGTTTCTAAGTAAGAATGTACTGCTGTACTGGCTAGTCTGAGTCCACATACAACCACATACTTTACACAGACGTGCAGTGAGGCTTCATTTTAACTGTAATTGTTTAAAGTGTCATGGTGAAATATGACCTCTATAGGATTTATAATTTATTCTCCACAGTTTTTTCAAAATATGGTTAAATGCTGGCTAGCCTATCAGTGGTGAATTTATGACCATGTTTTGAATAGTGATGTCACATCATAGACAGAATACAGCTGCTGTCCACTTTGCATTCTTTCAAGTGAAAAGACTTTTCCTAATCATGGTCAATTAATTTTTTTTGTTTGGTTTTTACCACTTGTTCTATGTCCTATTGTGGTGATTGTATGCAATGTGAGATTTGGGTTTGTTTTGTTGAACCTATTTAAACCAAATTCCTGTCCCTGTATGATTGCAGTGTTGGACATTTAATGGTTAAAGCTGCTGTGCATCAACAATATAGTGCTATATCCATTCCTTTTGGGTTTAATATTCTTGAACAAATTTGAGCTCCCACATCATCAAATATATATTCCAGAATAACCAGTTATGATTATAATTCAGTATTTGTGCATAATTACTGTAAGTGGACCACATTACTGTGTGGAAAAAATTACACCCAAAAAAGGCAACCCCTATGGCTGAGTGGTGCAGCCAAAGTCAAAATGATTTATGCTGCAGTACCACTGATGTACACTAGATGCTGGCACCAAAAACTCTCAGGCACCACAGAAATTACGTGAGAAAGTCCTACATTTTATCACTTTCCCTGCTGTGTGTCAGTCTATCCCACTCATCTTGATCATCTCTCCTCAGCTGACCAAATGTACTGGTTCCAGGAACAAAGACAACAGCAAGCAGCAAACCCACAAAAAAAGCTTCAAAACATCAGTTCAGAAACTTGTGTGTGATGTCATAAATGTTATGTTCATGTTTCTTTACAGTCCATGGTCCACACTGACAGCAGCAGATTCTTTTAACAGGAATAAAATGGTCTCCTCTGCTGCCACTATGCTGTGATTTAGGCTGATAATACGAACGATACATCAAAATCTTGGCTTTTGCACTTTTAACTGGCACCTCCAAGTATTAGAAACTGACTAGAGCACGTTGAAAAGTCTCTCCTGTAAATGACAAAATACAGTTTGAGTTTGGATGAACAACTGAATCCTATCCTGACATTTGTCATGCTGCATCTGTTACAGCTTCATGGAAACAGGGCAAAATTTCTACCACAAGGTTATAGAACAGACTGTATTTTTCTATTGAATTGATTCATTTTCTCTCTCAGTAGCTGCTTTCATGTCCAGTAAGGATGTATAGGTTGCTCAGTGCAGAGGGGTCATCAGTCGGTGTGCTCTGAAGGATGATGTCTCTGTTCAAAGGCAGATAATAAAGAGGAAAATATTTCACAGATCTTATACAAATCAACACAACCAAAGAAATACAGAACTGGCTCAAAGTCTGTTAAAGAAAAAAATGTTGTGTTCATGATTTTAATGTATTTATAGCATTCTTTAAAACAATCTGATAGCAAAAGTTTGTAGAATAATGTTACAATCTTGTTGCTGAGTGGTGGCTTTATGGCAAAATAATCTGTGCCATCTCAATGTCCTCAGTGAGATGTCATGATGTGTTTTTCGTACAAACACTGTGGGCTTCCAAAGTCTGGAAGTTGATTTTACAAATTCTGTTATTTTACACATTCAGCTACAATAATCAACATGGTATGTTTATATACTTCTGAAACTGGGCTAAAGTATGTTTTTACCCAGGGATTTTGTTATTTTTCCAACAATTTAAATGATCATACATCATAGCTGAATGTTTTTGTGCACATTTGTACATTTAGGGGGTCATGATGTCCACGGAATCTCATTTCACAATTATGTTGCTACTAATACCACCACCACTTCTACTACTACTACTGTCATGAGCATTCCTGTTAAAAATTCAACTACTTCTCCAAATCACCTCCAGGACTAATAATATTACTGATAACACTACTATCAACAACACTACTATGCTTATTACTGCTGCTACCAGCATTACGACGAATACTACTACTTCAATCCACTGTGAATGATTGATACTATTGTCAGATTAGTGTTAATGTACCTGTTTGTTCCCAAAACTCTGAACGCCCGACTCTTGTCTGTAATTTCTTGTGTTACCTGCAAATGAGGAGGAAATTCACCACTTACTGACATGGAGAAAATATAAATTTGACTCAATCACAAGCACATGACAAGAGCTCAGCTGCAGTCTCATGAAAATCTTGTAGATAATCACCTCTTCTGAATGAAAGCTCCTCCCTTTGAGGCCATGCTTCCAGAAAGCTAGCACACTATCCTGTAAGCAGACTGTTAGGACAAGTCACATCACTCAATCGTCAGTACCAAAAGCAAGTCTAATTCACTGTCTTTTTCACATCATTGCTTCTACCTAGTGTTTCAATGGGGAAGTCAAAGACCATCTCAGCAGCCAGCTCTTTGGATGGAATTCCGCGCAGGTTCACAATCTTCACAGTTTCTGTCCAATGGGCATCGAGATTGACATATAGTTTATTCTGAAGCAACATTAAAGATGCCTGGAGAATTTATGTGTGTTGAGAAGGAAGACACTTACTTTCCACTGCGATTAAAACAGTGTCTCTGTCCAGTTGGGTTACCTGCATGGCTCTCAGTGCGCCACTATCTGCAGATTCACAGAGACAAATAATCTTAGTTTAAGCTTTAGGCACGAGCTTCATAAAAACAGTGGAGAAACAAAGCAGCTCATCCTACCTGGTACTGAAACAGGCGTGCCGTTTAGCTCAATGATGTCAAATTTGAGCTGCTGGCTGGTTGGGGGTTTCCCATTAATACAGTCTCTCACCCCAACACACAGCTGAGGAAACTCATCTGTTACCAACACCAGCAGCTCAAATATTGGCAGAGAGTCTGGTAGCCTTGTTGCTATGTGCTGCAAAAGAAACAGAGATCATTAAAAAAAAAAAAGAAAGTCTGGTTACATGATTTCAAAATATGACTACATTTTAGTTTTATCTGAATTTTTATTTTTATTTTTTTTTAATTGTCTTTTTTGGGTTTTCGCCTTTATTCATCAGAACAGTGGAGACAGACAGGACAAGGGGGAGAAGAATGGGAAGAGACCTGCAGCAAAGGGCAGTGGTCGGGAGTCAATCCCACAACCGCTGTGTCAGGGACTATAGCACCTGTTTGTGGGTCACCGTCTTATCCTTTTTTTCTAATTCTTCACTTTAGGGCAGTGCAGAGCCGGTCCTACTCTACAACAATGGGGACTGAGTGGAAAGGGTCCACTCATTCAGATTTTTAGGCATGCACATCTGTGATGACCTCTCCTGGTCTGTCAACACCCCACCAGTGGTGAGGAAGGTCCAGCAGCGGCTCTATTTCCTTAGAGTGCTCAGGAAAAACAAATTGGAGGAGAAGCTGCTTGTGGCCTTCTACTGAGCCACTGTGGAGAGCATACTGGCATATTGCATCTCAGCGTGGTACGCTGGCTGCTCTGCAGCAGACAGGAGAGCTCTGCAAAGGGTGATCAACACAGCCCAAATGATCACTGGCTGCTCTCTGCCCTGTCTAGAGGACATTGCTAGCGCTCATGATTACAGCAGAGTTAGTAATATTATTAAGGACTCTTCCCACCCCGGACACCACGTTTGACCTGTTGCCCTCTGGCAGGCACTACGGTCACTCAAAGCCTAAACCAACAGACTCAGGGACAGTTTCTTTCTGAGAGCTGTCACTATACTAATCAGTCACAAACAGAAGACATAATTTCACTGCTGATCCCCATAAATACACTAAAAATATGTGTACAATAAACCGTACCAATGTAAAATAGCTGTGCAATAATGTTCATCAATTTGGAAAACACAAAACAAAAAACAAACAAAAAAACAAAAATGCATCTTGTGCTGCCCCCTACTGAGGAGAATTAGGAAAAATAGTTGAAGTTGGTTCTTTGTATGTAATACATGAAGAGCACATGGTGCCTGCATGTTCAGACAAGCCATTGCTTGACGTTGCCTTGGACAAGAATCTTACATAAGTGTTTACGTGAGGGCAGTATACATCTCCTGACATTTACAATTATAACATTTGTATATATATATGTACATCTGTAAAATACTTCCATTATTGTATATTCACTTTTTTGTACTTTGTACTTCTTGTCTTACAATGGAGCAAACTGTAGCAGTGCTCCTAATTTCGCTGCATAAAATACAGTGACAATAAAGGCATTCTATTCTAATATTCTATTAACACACAGTTGTAGGTATGGTAGCTGCTTGCTCGGGGGGTTGACGTTGGTGTGTCATGACAGACTACTTGCAGACAGCAGACGTGAGTATGACTGAGGTCTAGTGATGCATGTTCAACCTGCATTGAACCCATGTTGTTGCATATCATATAAGACCTGGCCCCCTACATGTCACTATATTACACATCACAGCTGATGTGGGTGGGTGGCTACAGATATTGTAAGAAAAGACACATCAGTTGGCAGTCATTTTAGGTGTAACAAATCTGTACGAACCTTTAGATGCATGAACTTCTGGAGAGGTTCATACCACAACAGCAGAACCAAGCCAGATGGAACTGCCCCACACAGAAATGTACTGTCTGTGTATGGGTTTCTTGCTGAGAGAGATAAAAAGGCTGTTGTTGGTATTACTGGGGAAAAAAAACAAAACATACAGAGCATGTAGAATAAATTCTGCATCACTTACCTACGCTACATCTCCGGCAGCCTTTAGTGTCAGGAATCTTCACAGATATGGCAAACTTTCTGTGGGTTGAGGGAGAATACCCAGTTAAAAGCAAAGACAGCAGCTGTCACTAAAAGCCACTAAGTTTAGGTTTTAAAATGCTATACTTTGATGCTATCCAGTTTTAGTATCAAGAAGACACTATTACTACTATTAGGCTTACAGCATGACCACTACACCTGCTAACTTCCATTATCTATACACCGCTTAATCCTCATTAGGGTCGCGGGGGGGCTGGAGTCTATCCCAGCCGACTTAGGGCGAAGGCAGGGGACACCCTGGACAGGTCGCCAGTCTGTCGCAGGGCCACACTGAGAGACAGACAACCAAGCACACTCACATTCACACCTACGGACAATTTAGAATCATCAATTAACCTCAACATGTTTTTGGACTTGTGGGAGGAACCCACGCTGCACGGGGAGAACATGCAAACTCCACGCAGAAAGATTCCGGTGCCCTCACCGGGATGTGAACCGAGGCAACTGCTGCTGCGAGGCAACAGTGCTACCAACTGCGCCACCTTGCAGCCCCACCTGCTAACTTTTTTGCTTAAATCTCTTATGCCCTGTCTTACCTGGGGTTGATTCTCTCAGTAAAGCGGTTGGTGCTGAGTGACAGACTGCTGTGCTTCTTTTGCAGATGTCCTTTCTGCTCAAATACAGCTGTCAAACTGTGGGAATAAAGCTGGGAGGACTTTCCTGCAGGATGGAGACTTTTTAGAGCAGCAGATAATGTATAGGACACTGTGTTCTCTAACAAAACCATTATTTTAAATAAATAAATAAATAAAATGTTACCTGATACAGACATCAGCACATTGTTCATTACATATAACCATGTACATCGCTGAGGGAGGAGCTGTGGACAGACATAAAAGACAAACAGAAAAATCCACTGAGTCTGTAGGTCGGTATACTCACCACTGCTAACTGCTTTAGAGATGCACAAACCCAATTGTCTCGCTGTCCTACATCCAACATGCTTATCTGTTACCATCCAGACATTTAATATATCCTAGATCTTTATATACGATTTTGTTATGAGATTATCTACTCTACTCAGTTTGTCTGTGAGCAGTCCAAATGTTTTTTTTCTCATCAGTGTATGTAGACTGCAGTAGACTAAAAACATATCTGGACTCAATTTAAAAACCAAACCAGCCCTCTGCATTCCAACTCCAGAGGGCATCTGGACTGAGGGATCCCTCAGTTAGAATTGCCTGGAATACTTCAGGGAAGCATCCAGTAGTCATCCTAACCAAGGAATTGTAAACTCCTTGTACAGTTCTAGGCTCTTCAAACTGTCTCTCAGAACAAGCCAAGACAACTGGTGAAAGAAACTAATTTTTTACTGCTATATCTGTGATCTCATTTTTTCCAGCTACAACCCAGAGCTCATTAATACATATGGAGGTTAGAACTTAGATGGAAATCGAAAGCGTTGCCTCCTTTCAACATGACAGTATGATTTGGCTCCATGAATGGACCTCTAAAATCTCATGTGCCTTTAGGCCTTTACTTATGAACAAGATCCAAAAATACTACAATGACACACATAGACCTGTACGACATATGCAAAGGGGAAGATTGTTCTCTAATACAAAATACATTTCAGCAAGCCCAGTCTGAGAAACAGGTTAGTGATTTTATGAGTTTATCAGACCCCCAAAAAATTCACAACATTTGATAATTTGATATTTTACTTTTAGTTGCAAAAATGTAGTAACAGTAACAGTTACCAGTTAACAGTAAGGATACACTGTTGGCATTACTAAGTAATGTACTGGATAGGTAAGCTTGCATGTATTGAACCTTGCTGAAAGACCAGTGCCTCAGATGTTGCTGTCAGATTTATTTATTTTTTGCCATATAGGTTCACTTAACAAGAAAGTGGCCGTGCAGAGTGCCATGGTCCCATCCTGAAGTTCAAACTACGCTACAAGCTACATTAAATGAAGCCAGCAAAAGTACATCTTTAAAAAACAGAGATGTTTCTGAAGTGCACATTCTCCACTCCCCTACTGCATCTACACAATTTCCACAGTACCCCCAGTAAACTCCCCTAAGGGACAAACAAGAAATACAGAACCCACATTTTATAAAAATTATGTTATCTACAGCAATCTTTGAGTCCTTATCTTACCTTCTCTAGTGTATCTTCATGAAGTTCATTAAGGTTCAGAGTATAGATGCCCTCCTCTGCCCCAAGAATAAGATATTGATCTAAGGAGGAAAAGGAGAATATTTATATATACATATATTTGTTTTTTCCTGCAACACAACACAGACTCTGCATTATAATTGTATGTTGATAGTGGAACTTTTAGCAACTCAGCTTTAAATTTAAAATACAACCAAAAATTCAGGAAGTATTAAATAATCAATCAATCAATCAATCAATCAATCAATCTTCTTACCTCTTGTTTTGGGAAATATCCAGGTGACAGCACAGTGGATTTTAAGAGGACAACCGTTGAAGACTTTAGAGAAACAGGCTCCCATCTACAGAACCAGCAGAGCAACTGAATCACTAAAGGTCTGACACGGTCACAGTGACCCTTGAGTTTTGGAACGATATCCATCTCAACAAAAAGCCATCAGATGTAGTTGTTACAGCAAATGCATTCAAAGCTGAACAAGTAAGCAGTAACTGGGTGCTAAATTTCCAAAATATAACAAACTCAGGCTCGGGAATATGATGGAATCAGATGGAGTAGTCATTAAAAACATTGGCAAGAATTTGTCAACAAACTTTTCTACCATGCCATGTGAGGAAGCATATTTTGTTACACATGAGAGCACTGCCAGGTCAACTTTTATTCTAGGTCACATGCTGTTAATTTTCACACTTACATGGACTTGAGGGGTAGGAGGAAGTCCATGACAATCAGCCCTCTAGAAATGTCAAAGGTTACACATAACAAAACAAAGGGGGTGATAATAACTGCACATCAGAGGCATTACAAATCCATAACTTGTTTGGTTGCATGATTTGCCATCTTACAGACAGACTTTTAAAGGAACCAAACCAAATCATTAGGAAGTTATTAGGTTAGCAAACACACAAGCTAACTGATGCTTGTTACTGTATGAAGAGGCAGTTTTTGGGGTTAAACTCACAGAGTCCTCAGTCTTTTTCCTCAGTGTGCTCCATTCAGGTGACAGCGGTGTCTCTCTTTTTGGGGAGGAAACAGTGGTAACGTCCCTCTTCTCTGCTGTTACAGCGTCGCCCACAGACAGACATGGATCACTGCAGCGCTGTCTAATGTCCTGTGTGGCTGAGCACCGAGCCAATACTTATGAAAAAGTAAAAAAAAAGAGATAGGCAGAGGAAATCATTTTTGCAGGGACTCATTCATGATTTGGTCAGTTTAAGATAAAGTCAAACATAGCTGAGGTTGGATGAAATAGTGGGTGTGATGTGCTGTACCTGTAGTGGAGGTGGAGTCAGTTGTGATGGCAGTGTCCGGGCCCAGTGTACAGCTCGGTCTCAGTGTCAAGTCTCTGTCCTCTGTGTTTGGAGCTAAAGAGCTGAAGGCTGGTAGAGACGCTGTAGATGGACTGAACAAGCCACTCTTCCTACCACCCTGAAAAAAAAAAGACTAGTGTGTGATCTCAACCTGCATGCCAGTTACATACTATGATCTAATAAGTATACATCATGTTCCATCGTGGACATGTGTGTTCATAGGGATGGTAATGCTGCTCCAGTTGTTTATTATAAAACTAAATATCTGAGCAGACTTCAATATATGAATATTCAATATAGAAGATCAATATAAATGGCTTTCGTAAAGCCTGTCTTTTTATCAGGGCCAGCAATATGTCAAAGCTAACATTTTGTGACACTTCTATTTATAAAAATGAACTCTAAATCCAATCACTGTTAGCCTCAGCTGCACTCTGAAATAAGTGCATTTATTCTTTGTTCACATGCTAAGCATTACAGAATGTGTAACATTGGCATTTTCAGAACACAAACATTCTAAACTCTTCATTTTAGGTATGTTAAGGGTTTTTAAAAATATATATATTTCCAATGTGGTAAAGAAGTCTGTGAGATGGTACTAACTAGGCTACAGAGAAAATAGAACTGAAGGTCTGTCTGGTGTTTTACACTATAAATTTAGTCTCAAAGAAGGAACAGTTCAATTTAAATTTAAGTCAACATCAATTCATTGTTCAATTATTTTCGTAAACATCATCCATGAATCTGACCTTTTCTGGTTTCGTCATAGTAACGCAATATTTTTGTGAACATTTCAGTTCGGAATAAATGTTCAAGTGTAGGGCAAAGTCAATGAGAATGGTGTTTTGTTATATTACTCAAACCAGATCTTTTGGTCTCTGGGATGTTTTTTGGAATAATATTGGTGCTGGAATGGAGAAAAAGCCTTCTGCAAATCATTTCACAAAATTGAAGTACACCACTGTTGCATACTTATCCATTAATTTAACTGCAAGTAGGTTTAGACTAGCTCCACCTAGTAAGATTGTCTTTACAGAAAAGTAAGCAAGGTGCTCATTAAAACATGAAGCCGACACATTCAGTTGCCATCATCCATCCATCCATTATCTATACACCGTTTAATCCTCACTAGGGTTGCGGGGGGCTGGAGCCTATCACAGCTGACTTAAGCGAAGACAGGGGACACCCTGGACTGGTCGTCAGTATATCGTAGGGCTACATTTAAGAGACAGACAACCATGCACACTCACATTCACACCTATGGAAAATTTAGAATCACCAATTAACCTCAACATGCTTTTGGACTGTGTGGGAGGAAGCCAGAGAACCCAGAGAGAACCAACGCTGCACGGGGAGAACGTGCAACTTCCACGCAAGATCCCGGTGCCCTCATTGGGATTTGAACCTCTTGCTGTGAAGCAACGGTGCTAACCACCCAGCCACCTTGCAGCCCTCTGTGGCCATCAGATTAATGGAAAGGGATGTATGTCTGAAAGGGATCACGCAGCAAAAACTACTCAGGGACAGCGCAGGGGACATGACATACAGCCCAGTGTGCTGACCTGACCTTCAAACTCCCCAGATTCCAATCTAATTCAGCACCCACAGAACAAACTGCGACAAGCCTTATCTGCAGAGGCCCCCCAACAACTCACAGAATCTAAAGGATCTGCTGCTAATGTACTGTAAAGATATACTGTAGTCTTCGTAAAGCAGTCCTTTGCAGCAGTGAGCAATGATGTGCTATTCTGATTCTAGACCTTCAAAGGGAAAGAACGAAACAAAGCCCTGCTGCAAAGGCCTACTGCTGAAATGAACCAGATGTCAGGATCCACTAAGGCACAGCCCTCTCTCCGACATTGCGGCAGGGTTTTTACTGATGTTTTAATGGTGGATAAATGCACTGCATCAGCATCTCAAATATGTGAAAGACCCACAAAACAATCTGGTGGTGTACCAGATGGCTTTGATGGTCTAGGTGGAAAACATCCAACTTAGGGAGAAAGACAAAATGTTGGAGCTGAGAAAAATACCACATGCTGTCTGGTTGCATTTAACCCATTAAGATTGACTGAATGCTGACAAATTGTCAATGTATCAAACTCATTCGAAACAACTATCCAAATTATTTTAGCTTCACAAAATACCACCAATGAAACCAATGCATCCCAAACACAAGATATAATTACATCTATATAAAGTCTATTTCTGAGCATAGGATGACATTGCAAAACAATGCAGAGAAATTGTTGTTAGACAAAGGATAAGTGCGAACAACAATATCCATCCATTATCTATACATCGCTTAATTCTCACTAGGGTCGTGGTGGGGCTGGAGCCTAACAGAGTCGACTCAGGGCAAAGACAGGGGACATCCTGAACAGGTCGCCAGTCTATTGCAGGGCTACACTTAGAGACAGACAACCAAGCACACTCACATTCACACCTACGAACAATTTAGAATCACCAATTAACCTCAGCATGTTTTTGGACTGTGGGAGGAAGCCGGAGAATCCAGAGAGAACCTGTACAGGGAGAACATGCAAACTCCACGCAGAAAGATCCCAGGGGTCCTAACCGGGATGACAGTGCTAAACACCGAGCCACCGTGCAGCTCTTGAACAAGAATATATTTATTTAATTTACAGGATGTAATTTGTTTGCTCTTAAACTGAAGAAGTGACTGAGCAGGAGTGTAGACAGGAGACAAACACATATATAAATGAACATCCAGTAGAGATGTACTCCATATTTGTAATGTTTAACATTTGTGATGCAATAATTCACCACAGATCCAAACCAAGTTCAGGAAACAGAAAAGAAGGATTTAAAGTCCAAACAATGGCACAACAGTTCACACCAGGCTTTCATTATATTGCAAAGAGGCACATTTAAAGTATTTAGCAACAATTTCACAATTTTCACTTTCCATGACTGAATTTATGTTTAAAATAATTATATATTTTTAAATATACTTTGCTTATTCTTAGGAAGGTTTTGGTTGCATGCATATTTAAAACTTTTCCGTATATGATCTAAAACTTAAACACAGATTCAGTTTATGGCAGTATGGCTCACACTTACATCAGCAGATGGCGCCCTTCTAATAGTTAAACTCCTGAAAGAGAAAGGGAAAACAACGTTATGGTCATGCTCTAAAAATTTAAGAACCAAGTCATCCGGTGGGATCCAAATCAAGCATCACGACAGAAAGCTGGACAACAAAGGCAGATGCTAAAGTTACTGAGGGCAGGATAACAGCAGCACAGAAACAAAACGCTGAAGAAAACACCACAAAAAAAAGCAGACAAAGGAGCCCAAAAAGCTGGGAAACAGTGGGTTTGTGCTGGATCACATCTGCATCCAGTTCATGTGGTTTGAGGATGGGATTAGCAGAACGTGAACACAAACCCAATGATTATGTCAAAGACATTGACATTAGCTGATATTCACATCACAATAATACCATCGCAAGCGGACTAATTTCAGGTGAATTCATGTGGGATGGGGAAACACTGTTGTTAGGAGTTGATGGACGTGGCCTACCTCAGCTGCAGAGCTTGTTCCACACATTCCAAAAGGCTCCTGCAACAGGAAGACCTGGTGTTTATCTGACTATGGGCCTGAATGGCCCATAACAATGAGAGGGAAGTAACCAGAGGTTCACTTCTGTCCATTCCTAAAGCCCCATAATGCTGTTGATATTAAAGCTTAGTCTTAGTGTTGAACCAAATTAAAGGATATTTCTGCTCCCTCTATCAGTACCTACAACTCTTTGGCCATGTCAGTCCTATGTGCATTTCAAATTAGAAGTAATTTTAGGTTAAAAAAAAAAAATTCAAACCAGAGGACTTGGGATTCTACTGAAGTGATTTTTTTCCACATGATATTCATTTACAAGTGTCAAAAAGCTTTATATTCACGTAATTGTTCCCAAAAATGTGTGCATGGAAGAATGATGTCAATAGTATTTTTTTTTTATTAATCAAATATAGCACCTGTGACCTTTTTTCTTCAACAAACACATGGTTTTCGTGGGTCATAGCCATATAAACCACAACACATGCATATTAGAGCCAAGGCCTAAATTTGCTTTCCTGTTAATGACAAACACATGAAAAAAACTGAATTATATCATTTGTTCAAAAATATTACTACCAAGTATAATTCGTGACTACAGCTAAATACTACAGGTACTATTTGTGCAACCACCAGTACTGTTACCATCACTGTATTTGTTGCTGCTACAACTCAAGAAAAATCCTTACATAACAATCAGTCCATCTAATCAGTGCAGCAGAAATGGATTCATACTGGTAACACATAGATACCTCGTACTTTTGAACATTCATTAACTTTAATCCCCACATTCTGTTATTAAAGATGATGGTAGCTGATTGCTTGTAATTGGTATAGTGCACAACGGCGCCACCAGTTTCCCCAAAGGCAGTTTGGCAATTCTGATGGAGACAATTTAATTGCAGTGACACTCACTTGCTGAAATAATAATATATATAATATATATAATGTTGCTAACACTTATAAATTATGTCCAGTAAATAATTTCAGAATTTGATACAGATTTTAAAAAACTTTGAGACTTATTCTGATAAAACAAACCTATTCCACATATGCAATTATTAAGAAATTTACGAGGAATGAATGACTGCCATTTTGGAATGCACTATTCAGTTCTAGTCCATCTCTTAATACGTCCATGCCTCGAAGTCACAACATTTCACAAGCAGACAGGAGATCTTTGGATTTTGGAACACTATTGGGCACCATTTTAAAAAAACAACAACAACTGTATATTGTTTCCAAAAGCCATCTTCAGCTTAACATCTGATAGCTTTAAGAAAGGTGTCCTGTACAAGTGTGAAATCTTAACAGCAGAGACCTGTGATGTGTCAATAAAGGATAAAAGTAGAGGAGTAAAGAACAATAAAATAGAGAGAAAGAAGTCTTACGGTGAGTTGTCTTCATCTCCAGATAGGCTCCAGTCATCATCATAGGAGCCCTGCTGAAAGGAGAATCAAAGGAGAACCTTTGGTCATATCAAGGTATTGTCATGCATTGTATATCATCAGTGCACAACACTGTCATATACACACTCTTGCAGAAAAGTTAATTACCAAATCAGGATAAGGCTCTGTGACTTTTCTCAGTGGAGGCCCAAACTTCAGTTGGTCAACTGCAAAGAAAAAAGAGCAGTGGAGTTTATGAGATTAAGAGCAGACCAGTGTTCTCCCACACAATCCAGGCATTTTGGACAGTATTGATGAGTGCTCACTTTCAAGTGCATTGATTCGTCTTAGTTGGGGTTAGACACAGAATGCACTCTGCACATCACCTATCACATCAATAATGAACTAGCACTATGGTAGACTGGCTTCTACAGCTCTGACCTTTCACTACAGTTGACCACAAATAACATAGGGACGGTGGACAAAATGCCAACATGTTAAGTCTTCTTTCAGAATATGGGAAAGGTGATCGTAATGATGTAGACATTTTTATAGTGTGATGCACAAGGTGGGCTTGTTGGTGTTAATATTGTATAGTATACAACAGGAGTGTGTACATTCCTGTGCAACATCAAGTAAATCACCCTACAATAATTGCATAACTTCTAAGTTGAACAGTAGGGCATTTGCTTGTATATAAAATGTAAAACTTACTGATTTACTATATGAAATAAACAGACCCCACAGGAGGGACCCAGTAAAAGTCAGGATACCTTGCATTACTGAGATTCAAATGTTTTTATTTGTGTCCACCTTTATTTTTGATGATAGACTCAATGTTTTATGGATGTTCTACCATTCTGCAGAGATGTTATTTCTCAACCTGCTTCTTTAAGATACTCCAAAGGTATTCTGTAGGACTCAAGTCAGGTGACATATTCTGCCAAGTCATAGTTTCATTATTTTTTTCTTTATTTAGGAACTCTTTTGTGATTGTTGCACTCTGCTTTGGATTACTATTGTGCTGAAATATTCCTCTTTTGCCAAACTTCAACAGTCTAGAGGAATCTTGTCAGCAAGTATTTTAGTATTTCCCCAGACATGGTGACATAAATGTCATCTCCCCAACATAATTTGCACTCATGCAGCACCATTTTATCACACTCTTAGCCCTCTGCTCCACTGCTGGGAGTATGCAGTCATTGTGATAGTCTGATTTTAAATCATTTGGAATTAAAGTGATATTGCACAGTGAGTATTAATTTCTATTATACATATTGTAAATGTTATTTATGGCCACAGTGACCAAAAGTAATGTAAGTAAAATTCGTAGATTACAATTCTAGCTTTGTTCACAAGCCTACTTGTGCAAACATATGAAAATATCAACTTTAAACACAACATACACTGGTGCTCAAAGAAAGTGCATCCCCCCTTAAAATTGTAATTGTGGCTTGAATAACCACTGTACCTGACAATATTTTCTACGGACTGTTTGAGATGAGTGGCACTCGTAGGTGATGTAATGTTCAGTGGTACCACACACATTCAAACAGCAGGGCCATCTCCCCAGCATCTTAGGATAATTTATACAAAGGGTTGTCTCTGTGTCTGTCTTCCCATCAGTGTCTGCTAATGATGCATGCTGCATACATTTTTAACATTGGGGGGGCTGGAGCCTATCCCAGGCTGAGATTTGAACCCAGGACCTTCTGGCGGTGAGGCGACAGTGCTGGCCCCTTTTCCACCATGCAGCCCTGGGCTTAAAACATTTACACAATAAATGTTTGCCAGAGCTGTTGTATAAAGGCTGGATATACTCACTTTTAAAAGCACCTGTCAAAGCACCTGCTCATCTTGTACACGAGCATCACATTCAGGGAAGAACTTTACATATTTTATACAAACGTCATTCCCCTTTTAATATTGTTTTTTGTATCACAAATTGAACTTTAATATTGATTTGCTGTAAGTTTACTTCAGCTCCTTTGTTTTGTGTGTGAAAAATAATACAGTTGAATTGCTCAATGAATTTTATTTAAAGGCATAAATGCTTTGTGATAAAGTATTTCTGATTCTGATTTAACTTCCCTATGTCTTTAAGAAATGTCTTGCTTTGGTTTCCATGATGACTTGACTGAGATGTGACTAAAAGGAGGAAACGGGTCATCATGTAACCACAGAGAACCTGAGCTATCGCTTGACAGTTTGACTTTGAAGAGGGGGATGAGATAACTATTGAACCAGAAAGCAGACGTGTCTGTCTTGTCTCGGTTCAGTTAGCACTCATGGCGTTGCTGAATGTCTGCAACAAGTTTATTACTTGATATGAGAAGGCTGTGAAGTAGTTTTCCTTACTCTTAGACGCTGAAGAGAACCACAGGGGTTTAGAAAACTTACTGCAAAATTGTAAATTTACCTCGGTGAGGGATTAATAGGGTTTATCTCATCTTGCAGAATTTCTTTTCACATACATGTGGTGATCTGGGGAATCTACCTCTAGCACCACCAGCAAGTTGATGTTTTAGTTTTTTAAATGTCTCAACAACTTTTTTATTGTCAAGAAATTTGGTACAAATATTCTTGGTACACTGAAAACTAAAGAGTATTTATCTCCTGAGCTTCTGAAAAATCTTACTTAATTTTGAAATATATGAATGTCATCAAGATGAACAAGCACAAAAAGTAGTGCAGACATTCATGGTACTCAGAAAATGAATCGCCATGACTTTGTTAAACTCAAAATTTTTACTCACACCACCACAAGGTTAACAATTGAGGTTTGTAGTTATCAACTACTAAAAATGGAAAATTCTGACATTCCCATCATAATAAATAAAAACTATAGCAACCTTGGTGATGCCATAAATTTTCATTTAGTGCTATCATCAAGTCAAAATTGTACTGTGGTTTATGACTAAATCTAATAAAAAATAAGCACATTCTCATCATCCTCTGCTGCACTTTGTGATTTTAAGCTAATCAATGCAGCTGAGGTTAGCATAGCATCACGCAGCTGCTTAGTCTTTCTTCTTTTTTTCATCATTAAAAAAAAAAACAAACACGATACATATATATATATATATATTTTTTAACATTTTGCTATTTAACCAAAAAAGCGAAACATCTCAAAGGATGCATGTCTCAACAGAAATAGCTGTACAAGAATGAAGCCTTCATGAAATAAAAACTCTGATGAGAATGGATTTCATAACAAGATGCACATATAATGCTAATTTTTGGTAACAAATGTATTTGACCAGTCTAGTAATAATATATATGAGCTTACTAGTGGCACTGTTCTAGGAACAACAGTGTCAGAATTCAAGCCCATATTGGTCAAACTGAGGTGCAGGTGTTTGTGGCTTATATGTCTATAAATAACACACTGTATGTAAGGGAAGTTGAGGTCAACACCAAGTTGATTTATGATTTGGTGCTTGGCAACATGTGAAGCTAGCTTATCACACCAGAAACACTTAGGCCACAAGAAGCCCACTGGCAGGTCAAAAGCATGAAGTCACTGGGGTAAGTGCATAGAAGTACCACTGTCTGTCACACACCAGGCATGTTCCCAGTGCCATCTTCTGACACAGCCTCCATCTCACATGTATGGACTGGTTACAGAACAAGGGCAGTCATCAGCGGACTCACTGAGAGGCTTTTGTCCTCATTCATATTATGGAGATTACAGCATTGAATACTGAGAACCATGGTGGACAATGAAGCCATTCTTCAGAAAGTACAATCAACATACAGTATATTTACACATGCATCCATGTAGTCAAAGCACAGCCACCAAGTGCACTTGCATGAAGGTGAGAATCAGAAATAAACAGTGAATAAACAGTGATAATCAGATGGACATTAATCTCATGTCTGTGCGTTAAATAGAGTGCCAGAGTTAAAACATTTCAAGATTAGTTCAGCATAAAAGCTGGAACTAGAAGGAAACAGGTAGCATGGCTAATGTCCACTTCAAGTCTAAAGGCCTTATTTTCAAGGTGGCGCAAGCAGAGTGACCTTGATATTCCCTTTGTGTATCTGAGAGGTATTTTGGGGAGAGTGTAATACACAGCTAGGAGGAGAGGTGCAAACAGGTGAAGAACTACATGTGTTCCAGATGCAGTGTTAATCTGCTGTTATTTTGTATGATTTCATCAACAAGTGCAAACAAAGTACTCAGAGTAAAAGCTCATGACTGCTCATGTATGAATCTGTATTCGTATTCTGTTGTTACCATGAGAGATATCAGATCACAGCAGCATATGAATCCTTTGTTACTCTTGTAAGTCATTCCATTCCATTTTGTTTTATTATCTATTACTATTATTATGTTCTATTATTAGGGTACATAAAAACCCACACTACCTGCCTCTGGCTGATTATCTGAGGTCATTTGAGGTCATACTTTCAGAGCAGTGGGAGTAGTGATCCGATTTTCCTTGTCCTTTTCCTTTTTGCCAGCTCACACAGTTAGTAAAACCAAGACCAGCTGTTTTCACCCATGCTAGCAACTCGGTGAGGAGTTAAATGCAGCATGAATGCAGCATGATGACGACACTAACATGCTAAAATTTATCAGATATAATAATTACTAAGTTCACTATCTTAGTTTGGCATGTTCACATGCTACCAAATGTTATCAAGCCATAAAAATTAAAGTGTAGCTGAGGCTCATAGAAATGTCATTTATGTTGCACTAAGCAAATGACATTTTTCAAATGCAAATTGCACTAGATAGTAAGGCAAAACTCTGAATCTGTCATATAGTTCACTCTAAATTAAAGATGCCAACCTCAAAGTGACACTACAGAAAAAGTCATCCAATCTCCAAAGCCAATATTGTTCATTCTCTAGGAACTCTGAAAGCCTGGGCAACAGTAATCCATCTGATATTTGTTGATATATTCTGAACCAAAATTGTGGACCAACTCACTGACCAATAGACCAACATCTGGCTAAAATATGCCTACCAACAACTCCAAAGGTTGGTAACCACATCTGTTTCATCACTACACAAAAACAGAAATAGTAAACAGTAAACAATGCTGTACAATCAACCAGCCATAATCAGTTTGAAGATGGAGAAAGAGCCAGTGTCCCCCATTTACAATCACAAATTGGAGATAGAGTCTACTTTGATCAATGGAACAGAGACAACAAGGCACCCACCAGATGTTCTACATGAACAAAAGACACCTTCCAGGTCTGTCGGGATGGTATGAAGCTGTGTTATCAGGAGGAGGCCAAGAGAAAGCACATTCTACAACACATACCTCCAGACAAGAAGACACCAGCAATGTGATTTGGGCCTAGAATAACCAAGAGACTGGCTTATACCCCAGTCACTATCAGGCCTACAAAGGACCAAATGGCTGCCAGACACTCATTGACCAACTTCTGAACCAACAGAAAGTGGAGGAGTCAAAAATCTGATAACAACATCAAAAGGATTTCACCCCATCAACAATGCCACAAGGAACACTGAACTCACATTAGGACAAAGACAGACATGTCTACCACTTGGACTAAACCATTCTTTATGATTAGTCATTTAAAGGAACTGCTGAAAATATTGCTGCCAATAACCTCATTATGATCAATCACACATGCGATCTCCTTAAATGTTTTATTCTACTTGTTTAGGTGTCAAACTATAAGTTAAACATCTGATGTCATATATGTGTTTAGTCTTGTGTCGATCAGCTATCCGGAGTGCACACATGTAAATGATGTGTCACCACATTACACTATTTTGAAACGATAGAAACCAGAGAAATATCTCGAAAGCATAACTCTATGAGGGACATCGGCCCTCCCCAATGAAGGCTGTGCCATATGCCCTCCGGAGTTAATGACTTTCAAATCTCCCCTTGAAACTCCCCAGAGGGCCCACCACCCACAGAGCAGTAAATCGGGGTTGGGTGCTAGGCCAACCAGACAGGGGGTAGGCATCTGAACGTACCACCCCCTGGTGGCATAGACTGGTTGTGGGGATGTGGAATGTCACCTCAGTGGCGGGGAAGGAACCTGAGCTGGTGCGGAAGGGGGAGCAATACCGGCTAGATAGAGTCGGGTTCACCTCCACGCACACCAACTCCTGGAGAGGGGTTGGACTCTCTCCTTCTCTGGAGTTGCTCAGGGTGAGAGGCACCAGGCGGGTGTGGGGATACTCAGTTCTCCTGGGAGACTTCAATGCTCACATGGGCAATGACGGAGAAACCTGGAGGGGAGTGATTGGGAGGAACGGCCTGTCCGATCTGAATCCAAGTGGAGTTTTGTTATTGGACTTCTGTGCTAGTCATAGACTGGCCATAAAAAAACACCATGCTTGAACATGAGGTTGCTCATAAGTGTACCTGGTACCAGAGGACCTTAGGCCAAAGATTGATCATCAACTTTGTAGTCGTGTCATCAGACCTGCGACTGTATGTCTTGCACACCTGGGTGAAGAGAGGAGCAGAACTGTCAACTGATCACACCTGGTGGTGGGTTGCATCCGATGGCGGGGAAGACTGCCAGACAGACCTGGTAAACCCAATCGGGTAATGAGAGTGAACTGGGAACGTCTGGCAGAAGGCCCAGTCTGTGGGGTTTTCAACACCCACCTCCGGAAGAGTTTCTCCTGCATCTTGGGGGAAGTTGGGGAAACGGAGTTGAAGTGGGCAATGTTCACAGCCTCCATTGCAGAAGTGGCCATTAGGAGCGGCGGCTAGATGGTCACTGGTGCCTGTCATGGCAGCAACCCCAAAACCCGCTGGTGGACACCGGCGGTGAGGGGCGCCGTCAGGCTGAAGAAGGAAACTTTCTGGGCCTGTATGGCTTGGGGGTCTCTGGAAGCAGCAGGCAGGTACCAGGAGGCCAAAAGGGCTGCAGCGGCAGCAGTTGCAGAAGCTAAAACTCGGGTGTGGGAGGAGTTCGGAGGGGCCATGGAGAGGGACTTTCGGTTGGCCTCGAGGAATATCTGGCAAACCGTTAGGCACCTCAGGAAGGGGAGGCAGGGTTTTGCCCAGGCTGTGTACAGTCGGGGGAGAGAACTGTTGACCCAGACTAGGGATATTGTCAGGCAGTTAAAGGAGCACTTCGTGGATCTCCTGAACCCGGTAAACCATCGTCTTCTGAGGGGACAAAGTGTGAAGACTCAGGGGTCTCTTTCTCTATATCCATGGTAGAGGTCAGCAAAGTAGTTAAGAAGCTCCTTGGTGGCAAAGTGCCAAGTGTGGACGAGATTTGCCCTGAGATACTTAAAGTCTCTGGATATTGTTGGACTGTCATGGCTGACACATCTCTTCAGTGACGCGTGGGCATTGGGTACGGTGCCTGTGCAGTGGCAGACCGGGGTGATGGTTCCCATTTTCAAAAAGGGGGACCAGACAGTGTGTTCCAACTACCGGGGTGTCATACTTTTCAGCCTCCCTGGGAAAGTTTACACTAAGGTGCTGGAAAAGAGGCTGAGACTGTTTGTTGAACCTCGGATTCAGGAAGAGCAATGTGGATTCTGTCCTGGTTGTGAAACAGTGGATCAGCTGAGCAGGGACCAGCTGAGCTGCTGAGGGGGGCATGGGAGTTTTACCAGCCAGTTCACATGTGTTTTGTGGATCTGGAGAAGGCCTATGACCATGTCCCCTGAGGGGCTCTATAGGGGGTACTGAGGGAGTATGGGGTACCAGGCTCGTTGACACGAGCCATTCAGTCCCTGTACAACCAAAGTGAGAGTTGTGTCCGCATTCTCGGCACAAAGTCAGACACATTCCCAGTGGGTAGTGGACTCCGCCAGGGCTGCCCGTTTTTCTCTGATCCTGTTTGTGGTGTTCATTGACAGGATCTCAAGGCGTAGCCGGGGCAAGTAGGGTGTCCGGTTTGGGGACCTCAGGATCGCGTCTCTCCTTTTTGCAGATGATGTGGAACTGCTGGATTCATCAGACTGTGACCTTCAGTATGCACTGGAGCGGTTTGCAGCCAAATGTGAAACGACAGGGATGAGGATCAGCACCTCCATGTCCGAGGCCATGGTACTCTGCCGGACACCAGTGGATTGCTGGAGTACTTCGTTGGTTGAATATGAATTAGATTGTGTAATAATTCTGCATAAGCATGCAAATCCCATTTGAGCAAACATCTACCCTAAAATGCATACACTTCCTTGCAGTGTCTGCAGAAAAAAAACAGACTGGCATTGCCAGGTAGTAAATACAACTTTTGGGTGTGGTCTAATACAGAAGGACCAAAAGGTACCAAACCCAGGAACCTCATAGTGATGACAGCACTGCAGATAACTTCTCCTGTGTCATGCAAGGAAGAGTACATCATACAAATCTTCCTGAAACCACAAATCTCTACATTTGTGTGTATACAATAAAAGCAAATAAGAATAGTTCTTAAAATGTTGAATTACTCCTTTAAAGGAACAGCATTTTGAGATGCATGCCAGTTTATGGTCTAACTTGTCAATATCAGTTTCATCTCTGTGTATCAAGTAAAGAGAATGGTAGAAAATAGGGAAAATCTGCTTCCCGAAAACTCTAAAACCCATTAGGCTGACAGTTTCTCAAAGTATCGGACTGTATGTGGGTGTGTGGGTGTGTCCTCACATTGCTCTTCAGACAGGGTCCTCTCCACAGGCAGGTGCTTCCCTGCTGATTGAATCTTGTCAGGAGCCACTTCCCCAACCTGTCAACACAACATTTGTATTACAGCAAGCATCAGCAAAACCACACATCACTGTGAAAATGACTACTTTTTTGTCCATCTGTCAGAGAGGCTACATTTTATTTTAAGGTAACTACAAGTGGGGATACTTAACAGGGTATTCCATCCATTTTCTATACACCGCTTTATCCTCACTATCGGGTCACGGTGGGCCTTGAGCCTACCCCAGCTGACTTAGGGCGAAGGCAGGGGACACCCTGGACAGGTTGCCAGCCTATCGCAGGGCTACACCTACACACCTATGGACAATTTAGAATCACCAGTTAACGTAAACATGTTTTTGGACTGTGGGAGGAAGCCAGAGAACCCAGACAGTACCCGCACAGGGGGCTGTGGCTCAGGTGATAGAACGGTTGTCCTGTGATTGTAAGGTTGGCGGTTCGATCCCCCGCCCCTCCACATCGAAGTGTCCTTGGGCAAGACACTGAACCTGAAGTTGCCCCTAATGGCAGGAAGCACCTTGCATGGCAGCTCTGTCACCATTGGTGTATGAATGAGTGCTGCTAAGGTAGAAAAGCGCGATATAAGTGCAGTCCATTTACCATTTATGCAGTCCATTTACCACGCTGCACGAGGAGAACATGCAAACTCCATGCAGAAAGATCCCAGTGTCCTCACCAGGATGCGAACTGGCGACCTTCTTGCTTCGAGGCAACGGTGCTAACCACCAAGCCAACTTGCAGCCCTTAATAGGACATTGTTTAAAAAAAAAAAAAAAAAAGGACGCCATCTGTTGACCAGTGCAAGTGTCACCCCTTGCAGCACTGACCTCTAGTTCGTTGTCATCCATGCTGTGGGTGTGGGAGTTGTGGAGCTCAGGGTTGTTGGCCATGTCCAGCAGCTCAATGACCAGGTTACGGGTCAGCAGCTGTGTCACAAATGGATGCTGGAAGAAACATGTTACATAATATTACCTTAAACTTATATGGAACATCAAAATGAGCCGACAAAATCGTGCAAAATAGTCTTGACAACCTAGAATAGACATTAACTGGCTGCGAATTTCCATCTTTGAAGGACACTGCTAAGCTGGTTCCAGATCTAGGAATCACTGCTAGATCTTGAATTCAGTGCTGTAACTCAAAATAATTTCAAAATGTTTTCCAGGGTGAAAAACAAAACAAAACAAAAGATGCACACCCAAAAACTCTTGGTGCTGGACCAAACAGGATGGCAAAAGTAAAATACCCAGACTGCTTACTGCTCCCACAAAGTCTTAATTAGCACCAATAAACATTGCACGCAATCTCGCAGCTCAGTGGGCAATGCTGCCTATTGAAAATCCATCCATTATCTATACACGTTTAATCCTCACTAGGGTCGCAGGGGGCTGGAGCCTATCCCAGCTGACTTAAGGCAAATGCAGGGGACACCCCAGACAGGTCACCAGTCTATCACAGGGCTACACTTAGAGGCAGACAACCAAGCGTGGAGTTTGCATGTTCTGTTTGGAGAACCCACGCAACGTGGGTTCTCCAAACAGAACATGCAAATTCCACGCGAGCCGGCAACTTTCTTGCCGCGAGGCAACAGTGATTGAATAAATCGAAATATGTTAATGAATGTCCTGATTTAAAAAAAAAAAAAACACTACCTATGAAAACTATTTAAGTCATTCCACATTCAATTTTACAAGGTAAAAAAAAAAAAAAAGGAAATATAGTGAAAAAACATCTGTCTTATCAGTTTCACATGTCATCACACCCCTCACTTTGTATTTACATCTCTATATATTGTACCACTATCAAATAAAGAAAATGAAAAAACCCCATTGACTGCTTTTTTATCTCTTTTAAAGCTATGTCCACCTGTGTTTTAGTCATCTTTAGTTTAGCCAGTTTTTTTTTTTTACAGTTAGGCAAAGCTGTACCATGAAGAAAAATAATAATTAAAAATTACTGAAGGCTATATGAAGTGCTTTTTCTCCAATTTCTAAAGGGATTTATGGACATTTATCTGTGCTGAACACTGGGAAAATTAAAAGACAAAAATGGGCTCATAGAGTTGATTTCAACGATATGTGTATGATGTCTGTGTGTTTTTATTTGAATCCAAGCAGAAGTACTGTTATGTTGATGGCAAAATGTGTCAATCACACAGTTGGGGGAAAGAAAACAAATATAAAAAATAGGATTCTACATATTGTGGTGTGATATGTTTATCTCTAAAATCGGCTAATCTACTGAATAGCTACCAGTGTGAACTTACTAACCTGTATGAATGTAATGCAATCACTCTCTACAGTAAAAGAGAATGTCTGTCAACCTATTTTTACCCATCAAAGGTTAAAAATAGAACAAAAAATTGTACTCATGAAAAATGCATTTATAGTAAAGTGCCTATATGTGACAGATGGCCAGTTTAATTCTTTTTATTTATGACATATTATAAAGGGCAAGCTAACCTGCAGCAGTGTCTCAGCTGAGGGCCTTTTACGAGGGTTTTTAATGAGAGCCATCTTCACAAAGCTTTGGAAACCTGCTGACCTGCAGATAGAGGAGAAAAGAGAGACAGGCAATGGGTGAATACATTGGAAATCAAAACATTATTGATCAGTTTAAAGAGAGAAAAGCAGTTTGTCACAGTTAAACTCACCACTTGGTTTTGTCCTTTAGTCTCGGTGGCTGAAAGTTGCTCTTGGACATTAACATCAGTGCCCTGAAACATTGTTTTCAAAGTCACTAGGCTGACAAATGTTTTCAGCATTTACATGCAGTAAGTGTTCAGGAATAAAGTGCAAAGCAGGCAGCCCTAATATGACATTTAAGCAGCCTCCAGTGTTTATCTCTCTGCTTTGGCACCACACACAGTGCATTAAGTCTATCCGTTCCAGCTGTCTGGGCAGGGATGTTGGGGTCCCTGTTGTCTGTGCTGACTCACCTCATTGGGTGGAGGTCAAACATGGGCGGCTGGAGTTCAGCCAGCTCAATGGCAGTGATGCCGACAGCCCAAATATCACACAGGTGGTTGTAGCCACCCTTCTTTTCCACTGCAGCTACCTCTGGAGCCATCCTGGACAGAGGAACAGAAAAACGAAACAATCAGAGGAAGGAAACATCCGATTTAGCACTTCTCAAAAGGAAAAAAGTTTGTAGCAGACACTGCATTTTTATTTCTGTTTCAGTATCAACTACTCATTGTGATACTTCCAATATTGTGTATCTCTACAATTATAGTTTGTTTGGTTACATATTTATTCTTTTACAGTTTAGGTAAATGTGTTTTTCAGTAAGCGATTGTTGGCTATTGTCAGTGGTGGTTCACTACTAGGACTTTTTTTTAACAATATATGAAATACATTTTAAAATGTTATAACAATAACCAAAGTAAAGGGACAATAAGGCCTAAAATTAGAACTTAAATGCATGGATTTATTTACATCATATTTTTTTGTCAACACTTACCAGCTGTAGCAATAATTCCTAACAATATTATTATTTATTCATTAAACTCAAATACATATTGTATTCTTAAAACATGGATATCTCTCTTGTCAGCAATTCCATTTATCATGAAAACAGACTTCAGTTTTGTCCCGTGAAGCTGAAGAAAATTGTTTGTAATTTTTAGCATGATATCTAAATGCAGGTTTTTTAAAAAAGGCACTGATCAATTGATAAGCCGTGGGAGAGATGGTGTCATCACCATAGTGATGCAAACCGATGTTGTGCCTCCTGAAAAAAACAAAGTAGGATCAATAACTAAACCTTGAGGGACATCACAATTAATTTTGTAGCTTTTAGATGAACATTAATCCATGCTTTTAGAAAAAATAAAATCTTGGTCAGTGATGTCCATAGTGGACATGAGGTCATTTACAATTTTGACTGGTGCTTTTTCAGAATAATGATCAGTCCAAAACTTGATTGGTATTTTTCCAAAAGTTCCTAAAATTGTCTGATTAAAAACAAACTTCTCTTTAGTGTAGTTTTAGGTAATGAGGTATCCAAATTGTTTTGCTTCAGAAGGGGTTTAATGTTAAGTATGACAGTCTTAAGAGTGGAAGGGAAGAGTACCTACAATTTTGGGGATTTTTTTGGCCATAGAAATGTTCAAATATAAAGAGAGTACCGCTGTAAATTACAGATTAACTGCACCCCTCATCCAAGACAGCAGTACTGCACCTCAATGCAAAATCTCTGAGAAGTCAGCGCCTACTCTGTATGATACTGAAGAGAGATAGAAAATATGTGTTCAGAGAGGTTAGGTGAATGCCACTCCATTCATCTTACCAGTAGGGAGTTCCGATAAAAGACTTTCTTTTGGCAACAGAGGCACTGATCTCTGCTGCCACTCCAAAATCAGCTAGAAACAGAAGAGACACATGGGGTCACAATGGCAGCTAAAATGTAATACAGATGGCCTATTGAAGCGCACTTGATGAAAGTGAGAGGTTTAATTGGTATTGCAAATGTGCATGTCTGCATTAGTCCAATACAGAGCTCCACTGACCCAGTTTCACATCTCCACGCTCGGTCAAAAGGATGTTGGCCCCCTGCAGAGAGAACGCACACACACATAAGTGCTTGTGCTTACATAATGACACACAGCATAATCATGTATTATCACTGTTAAATTGTAACAACTGAATGAAGATTTAAAAGACAGCTGTACCTTTATATCTCTATGCATTTTGCCAGTTTCATGCAAGTGATACAAGCCCTGGTAAAAAACAAACAAACAAAAATGTAAATCAGCTGATCTTTATGTAGATTATTGTGAGGATACAATTTTTATGTAATTATTACTTGTTTTATGGTTGTTAAGGACTGATCAGGTTAAAAAACGAAGAAAAAAAAAGCAGTAAGCGTGACCTATTAGAATTCCCTGGGGGAAAAAAAGACAATTGTTTGCCCCCTCTTTGACCTCCTGATACTTATAAACCAACAGCTTTTCTTGTACTGGAATACTCCTTGGTTCTAGGTTTTTGTGTTTTAATTTGTTTTTAAGGGTGTCATTAAACACAACTGCAAGAATATAGATGATGAGAGCAAAAAAGTTGTCTTTCCTTGAAAACAATCCCTCCCTGACTTAAAATGGCTTAGTTGTAACTCCACACCATTACCTCTTCTGCAAATCTATGAATTCCTTGCCTCTCTGTCCACCCACCTGTTCCCACTTGCTGCAGCTCAAGCTCACAAGCTAACCTCTGCTAAAACTTTTGTCAGGCTACTTCTACTTTCAAGCCTCAGTGTTCTGACAGCCTCAAAAGCACAAGATTCAGACAGCTGGGGTTTCACATGTAACAAACCTAAGGAACCAATCCCATCAACTTGCAGGGTGAGGTTTTCTGTAACATTATTCTTCCTCAGAATCAGTTTCTGGTTCGAACTTGTATGGCTGAAGCAGCCGGACAGAAACTTTAGATTCTGGCATTTTTAAATAAATTGTTGTTATTGACTCCCATTTTTAGTCCTGGTAGACTGCAAAGGATTGTCATGAAGTATTTAACAGTAGTGAACTGTTTAGCTCTGTAATCAATCCATTTTGAGAAACCTTTTTGCTCTGTTGACCACCAGTCAAAACCTTTTGACTTTAGTTGCTGTCTACAAAAGCGGATTACTCACTCATTAACAAAAAAGAAACAGTGTAGCATGTTATGCTGTGGATGCTGTTATGCTGCACAAGTATTTACCTCTTAAATATATATATTTAGTGGTCTGGCGAGATTGCTTAGCTCCTCTGGGGCTGGGAAAAACACATGACTCATTCTTCAGAGGTGTATCTCTAAAGTTGATTTTTACCCAAAAAGCCTTACCTGGAGGGTTTCCCTGCACACGAACGCTATCTGTTTCTCCTTTAATGGGCCTGTCACTGTGAAGAACAGTTTGATTAATAGCTCATACACAACAGGAGGTTGAAAAAGAAAGAGCCCGCAGGTGTATTTCTTAAGATAGGGTAGAACTGGCTTTTCAGAGTTCAGTGTGCCTACTTCCTCATCTGTTTTGCAGTAAGTACACAAATGACTCAAAGACTACATGCTCCTTACAACAGTACAACATGTTGGGAATTATGTCTGCTGTCTTCCACAGAGCAAAATAAGAAGGTCAGTTTCTTTATAAGCCTTCAAAAACAAACGTTAGCATCAAGAAGCAGAATCAGTAAAAGCAGCATAGTTCAAAATTGTAGCACCTTGCAGCAAATTCACAAAATCACAGGTGCAGTCAGTTTTGTTTATTGGTATTTTATGTTTTTGCTTATATGACCTTTTGTTTACAATTCCCAATGCCTCTTTCTAACTGAGTAGACTTTTCCATGGCATATTACTGCTAATTGATCCAATCATAGTTGTTGCAGCCTGCATCACCATGTCTTGTTGCTACACTTTCAGGTGTATGTATGGCTAAAATGTAGGATATGTGGTGGCGTAGATTAAATGTAGAAGCATAAATCTAGGTGAAGAAACAAAAAAGGAAAACATTTCACACTTTTTCGACTTCTTCAAATGGTAATATTGTACTTTTTTTAAATGAACTGGAGATAACTGATGTTCATCTGTGTTTGTACCATGGTAAATATCCTGAAGTGACCCTCCACCACAGTACTCCATGCAGATCCACAGCTTGGTGTTCCTAAAGAGAGACACACAGCTTTAATACTTGGTGTTTGAGTAAGAACAAGCTTTGGACGCACTGTGAAAAACTGTATCAGAAGGAAATTCTTAGAAACAGACATGCCCTAATATAATGAAGTTGATGAATTTACGCCCACAAAAACATTCAGTATCATTCATGAGCTGCTGTGCCAACAATGCAAGCGCTGGGAAGAGTGGGAGAGGAGTCCGGCAGCAGTGTAGGGGAGATAAAAGACACATTCCACATATTTCAGTCCACCAACAATCCCAAAATTCCACCCATCAGAAGTGGACAGGCTGAAAACACACAGTACCTGTGGTAGCTGCCGAAGTAGGCCACAATGTTTTTGTGCTTGCATTCCTTCATCATGGTAATCTCCTGCTGGATGGATGTGATGTCATCACCTAAGCAGACAGACAGTTAAGTGAGTGTCTACTCACAGCTGTGTGCTGTTAAACAGAGAACAGAATTCATACAAATGGAAGGAAAATTACAGACCAGCAAAGCATAGGGTTAGACTAGTGGGAGCAATGGCAGACTTGTCCATGAGTGAGACATAATTCAAATGGTGTTGGAACTACAACAAAGATGGTACATGCTTATTGTGGAATATGGAAGCCTGCAATTTATGTGAGTCAGCAAGTGCTAGAAAAAGTAGTGTACCAGTATTTACCAGGACTGGTATGATGGTCCATGTTTTAAAATGTGAAAATACAAAAGTAGAGTAAAATGAATTGTTTCTAGTATGCTGGCTCTGTTTTTCCCACCACTAAAATACATGATTAACAAACAGAAATAAAAGATTCACATTTTTTCAGATGTCCTTTAAAATAGCACTTAGACTGGCCATAAAGAAAATCCTTTCCTAAGGCTATTTCAATGTCAGTGATGAAATACAATCAAATACTGTTTTGTAGTGTAAAAATGCCTTCCAAGTCGTTGTGTTGTGTTGGTCTGTAGGAGTTGGGAGATAACTGCCTCATTTTAGTCAGACTGTTAAAACCTCAACAATTAAATGCATTTTTGCACAGAAAAAAACTACATATTTGGCTCCCAATCAGGAATCACTTTTGGAAGGGATCTCTTTGGAGCTGGTATGTAGAGAAGAAACAATTATGAAAACCAACAACTTTTTAAACATATGGGTCTTTAAATATTGTACAATGTGTATTACATTCACTGAAGAAAAGACATTTAGAGGCCTTACTTTGTAAATACGACTCAGCATGCAATGAAATGTAGAAACAGAATAGCTAGGAGTAAGGCTGCACTACTTTTTCTTTAATTGGATGTAAAAGAATAAATTGGGAGGGTTTTAATAATTTGAGTGACTTTTTCTAAAATGGTTTTCACAAATTAAAAGTTGGTGGATATTCCAGAGTATGGTGAAAGGGATGGGTGCATGCAGGTGTTCTAAAAAATAATGGTATGCCAGTTTTAGTGTCAGAGTCAGAATTCTTTTAAATCTGAACATGATGACATAATACACATTTTTTACAAATTTATACTGACCTAAACTTTCTTTAAATACAATTATTCCTGTTTCAAATATATTATCACTTAAACTTTAAAGGAATGGTCTGATTATTTGGTAAATTTGCTTAATTGCTGTTTGCCTAGACGTAGGCAGGCTCCAACTTCAGGAGTTTTAAAACCCTAACAAATTTAGAAATAGGGTTGCACTATGCATGTTAGTAGAAACTTCACCGATATTCCTTTCTGTAATCTCAGACATTCAAACACTACAACACTGAAAAAGAATGGCAATCACTCTTGCCAGAAGGAGCAATCAGGCACCGTCACACTCGCATTCTCATGGGTACGCAGACATAAACAAAATGGAAACCGTGGTGCAACAACCAATACTTGCAGTGAGAAAAAAACAAAACCAGCAGCTTGAAGTCTAGATGAGAAAAATGTTTGGGAAGATGTGGTCAACACGGTTTGTTTAACATTGGTTCAGACCAAGATCCCAGATCAGATTTTTCCTTCATTTGTTGGTAGGGCTGAAACAACAGGAAATCAGCCCCTATATCCCCGATAGTGCAGGCATGACTTTAGGGGGCTACAGACTGTAGAATGTTATCAGTCTTAAGTAAGATTTACGAGTAGTCTGAATTGCTACACAAAACATTTCATTAGGTTTTTTTTCATACAGATGTAAATTGTAGTCTGTGACAGCTAATATTACAAAGCATATATCATAAGCCTAGTTTAGCACAAAGATAGCAAACAACAGAAACTGCTAACCTAAGCATTGTTATGAAACCGATATTGTTCTTTTTTATTGATTTTTTTTCCACGTTCAAATTTTGAATTCTTAATTGATACGAAAACAACAAGTGATATGTGGATTTAATTCAAATAATAAAGACAATACACGCATAACTGATGTTGTAAGTAATCATGTTGTGTCACTTATGGACATTTAAAATACCAGGGTCCAGCTTGACAATCTTGATAGCTGCCAGTTCAGATGTCCTGATGTTACGAGCCTGAAAAGGAAGAAAAATAATCAATGTAATAAATAAATATAATCACATAAAGGATAACCTGCATTGTAATAGTTCCTCAGAGGGTGAAAACTGTATACAAACGAACTGTGCTGCCCCAGCCCACAGAGCCAAAACACCAAAGCTACCATACATATTTGGGATAAACTGAGGTAAGATCATAGGTTTTTTGGCATCTTATCTTGCCAGGAAGAAAAAGTTGTAACTATGAGGGAAAGAAAGTGATAAAAATTTCACAATAGTAGACAATATACAAACTAAACTGCTGTGACTCCAATTGCTTCCAGCGAGCTGGTGAAGTAATTAAGCAAAACCCAGTGCAGTCGTGACTCGATAAGCCAATACTAAATGTAAAACCTTCTTTTATGTCGGATAGCAAGGCTGTCGGATTGTCAAGATGGAGGTCGAGATGCAAGGAGGGACTGATGCATGAAGGGTAATTTGTTGTTAGTTATTGTTCAGAGTTGTTACAATAACTAGTCGGGCTGAATAGCACTTTCTGGTCTCTGGATATTCAGGTCCAATTAATGATGAATATCCGAATATTCGGAGCGGTTGGGGGGTATACTTTCGACCCGGGGGTGCGCTCGGACGGAGCGGTAGTGGCTGGAACTCACAGGCAGTACTTAGCTGCTGATGCCAGTTTAGGATAGCGGTCACACTTCTCTTTCCACCATCTATGTCTACTTCGTAAACACTGAAGCATGCTCATGGCATGTGACGTCGTCCGGTCCTCTTCTGCGCATGTAGGACACTTTGGGTCATTTGAAGTTCACGCAGGAGATCACATGCAAGTCATATTTAATTGGAAATGTGAACGAACACGCAAAAAAAATCTTTTTTCACAAAAAAATCTGAATTGAGCGATAAGTCCTGCAGTTTGAACGTAGCCAATCTGTCGGCTTGTTAAGTCACATAATATGCCATTATCCTTATTTGTGACATAAAATGTCATGTCAGAGTCAGAATCCAAGGCTGACGGTATGTTAAGGCTATTCTTCATGTGTTCCATTCATTTTTCCTAAAAAAAAACTGTCGGATAGCAAGGTTTTTGAATTGCTAAAGGGTCGGATTATCGAGTTATGACTGTATATCCACTTTTCCTGTTCTGTGGAACTTAATTTGTTATCATATAAATCGGACAGCAGTTACAATTTCAATCTGAATAGAGAAAAAAAGTAACACAACTGCTGTTGTGTCAGAGACAACGAGCCAAAGCTAACTAGCCTAGTTGGGATTCATGTAATTTCATGGAGTTAAACCATTGTTAAATCACATATGTATTTGTCTCAAGAAAAAATTACTAAATTATTTAGTAGTATACCTACACATTATGTTTGTAAATAATATATTTTCCCTTCAGATGGTCCAAAAATTGTGCGTGGTCTGTAAATGCTTTTTAGATTTCCTGCAAGGTCTCTAACAAATATTAATTCTTTTAAAAAGGCATACAATGAAGGTTTTACAACTAAAATCTGGAGTCATTCCACAACCAGATCCAAAACCCAGTAAAGCTAAACAACAGTTGAAGCAATTTGAGTTCACCTCAGGGTTGAGTTCCCTATAAACACAAGTTTCATGTATTATGTTAAACATATAATGCCCTTTTTCATCAGAAACACAGAAATATACTTAAAAAGAGCTTGTTTTTAGATAACCAAATATCATGATTAAGGTAAGCTATTCTCAATTAATTCTGCAAATTGTTGAGTTGCAGTGTAGCAGTAATCCAGCTCATTTCATCACATTACAGACCAGAGGAACATTTTAGAAGATGGAAACCAGATCAGGTGTTTCAGAGTGAAATTGCAAACACGGGTTAATCCAGTGTTGACCTGGATCTTTAAAGACTGTATCAAACCAACCCCCAGGTATACCCTTTACACCTTGCAATAATATCTGATCTGAATGTCTAATCTGGATAAGAAAAAAAGGCATACATTAATGCTTTAACATTAACATGCAGGACCCACTGTGATTGGAATGTGTCTGCATATTGTCAGGATCCTCGCATCAGCCCCTGCCTGTCTCAGCTTGGCTCTCCCTCTCCTGTCACTTTGGTCCCGTGTTTGGTTTGGTTACCTGATTGCAGGTATTGGAGACAGCAGCTGGGATTGGCACACCAGCTCACAATCACCTCACTCCATAAAGCTCAGCTTATTCCACCACTCACTGTCAGACCATAGACTTTTATCCCCAGTGTTTCTGATGGTCCCCGTTGTGTCTCCTGCCAGCCGTCTCTAAGCCACTGCGGCCTCAACCTCCCTGCATCAACAACATTCTCTCCACCCAGATCCTCCCCGAGCCAGCCTTCTCCTGCCACTGGTCCCCAAACTGTTTTTAGCCTGCATTTCCCGAACCAGCCTTCCCCTCTAGTTTGGTCCCCAGTCCTGTGAGTATCCCTGTTTTGTTGGTTTGGTTTAGTTTAGTTTAGTTAATTCACTGTAGTTTTCACTTGTTTACCCTTTTGGTGTTAGGTTAGAGTTTTTCTTAGGCTTTTGTAATTTTGTTCCTTTTCTGATTCACTCCACCTGTCAGTAAATGCAATAGCCTGAAAAATCTCTTTCAAGCTACAGATCACATCAATTAAATAGGAACCAATTGCATTGCTTGGCAGCAACATCACATGAGCAACAAAGCTTACACATAAATACGTTTAAGTATCTTCTCCAGACCCATTAATCTTCCTCAATCCCAACCAGTATCACTTCATTATCTTAGCGTAGTAAACAAGTTTTTTGTGCCCTGTGGATAAGAGTCTCCTAAAGCAAGGTACTAATTCTGAACTAATGTGTGACTGGTAGACATGACTTGTCATTGATCTAAAATTTAACACTTTCTCAAGTCAATCAAGGTTACACTTCATCTCTTTGGCGCATGTCTGGTCTAGTCAACTGACAGAACAGGCAAGAATGCTTGTATAACATGCGTCATATGCGTACCACCGCTGTGGTAGAACACACTAATGTGGTTTTGAAAGTCTGATGTACCTTTTTGCAGCTGGTATCGTGCTTTTCTGCACCCAAGACATGATGTATTGTGCTTTACTTTTCGTACCATAGTACTAACGGATGACATGTTTGTCACCCTGCAAGAACCAAAGAATCAAAATGTGGTGGTGATGAGGCAAAAACTGAACATTTAGTGAGAATGCTAAAGATTTTCAACGTGTTCTTGCATGCTGGTTGCCAGATTAGCCATTTCACCATTGAATCCCATTCTTGGTGTCACAATTGTATTCAAAAGAAAAGAGACATTTTGTTGAAGCACTGACTCTTGTCCTTGGTCCATCGAGTTAAAAATGAAAAATAAAAATCCATTAAGCTAACTGGTCTTTAGGGTGAGTGCCTGACAAACAGCAGCAGTTATGTTTCCAGAGGTGGAGAACTGCCCCTGCCTTAACACTGAGTGCATGACCTTTGACACAAAGCAACCTCAAAAGCATGAATTCTGAATGTGTCAGGAAAAAAATAGGACTAAACTTTTTGTTAGTAAGCCCAACTATATAGAACCCTTTTAATTATCTTTGGCATTATGAAATTCTGTCAGATTTCTCCACAGGACTCTGTTCACTGAGTGGCGCAGATGAGCCTCATGAGGAGGAGACGCCACCTTAAGTTTGTGTGTCACCTACTTGGAGGTGTCATTTACCCTCAAATCAACTAATTTCCAGTGGAATTGCAGGTTTTGTTTCCTGTGGCCAACTGACCAATTAGAACTTGGTCAGCTAAGACTCCTTTCACTGACTTTGGTTGACTCTTGGGAGGCAGTCCTATTGTGAATGCACATTTCCAAATGTGCTTATTCACAAAAGCATACCTACTTGCATAGTTGCATTTATCAAGCACAGACTTGTGAAGACTCAGTTACTGATGAACTTAGACTTTGCAAACAAAAACACAATCTGAGAAGTTGTAAGGGTTTGCAAATCATGTCAAAATCTTTAACCAATTGTTAAAAAGATGAGACATCCATCATCACAATATACAATTTTTTATTTTTTTTGCATGAGCTTGACAGTAGTTTGCTCTATTGCACACTACATTATCCAAAAACAGTTTAAAGACACTTAGTCCTGATTGGAGCTCTACTACCTCACTGTTTCATTAAGATACAAAACATTGGCAAATATCCAACAGCTTAGTATACTATCTTGCAGATGAAGTACTTTATAATTAGTTTAGCTCTGGCTTTAACTTTGTATTGATTGCATAGTGTTGACAAACATTAGCAATGACTGCTCTTTCTTACTGGCAGTCCTAGACAACCCCTTGGTGAGTCAAATTCAGACCAATAGCAGTACCACTTACTACTTTTCTTTTTTTTCTTTGACTATGTGATCAGCTAGCTTATTTCACCACGATCCACAGCAGATTTAATGTCAATCTTGTCTCAGGTGAGTCATATGGCTCAGGATCATAGTGTTAAATGGACAGATTAACAAACAGATTGACTGACTGATTTTGTCTGAAGAACCTTCCATGGAGGCATGTTTTGTTCTATATATGGGATCAGCATTATCCAGCTCTGCTTAGACTGGTTCAGACAGTAGATTGATTCTCAGTTGTGCCGGTTATATCCACCTGAACAATAAATGTGATTGTGGCTGCATGTTGCTTGCTCTGCCTTGTGATGTGTAGCTGATGAAGATGTCTGCTGGAACCCAGAACTGCTGTGGTAAATTAAATTTGCTAAAAATGATCAGATCAGGTCAATATCTTTGACTTTTACCCAAGTTTGTTCACAATAGAACACAAGAGGTAATGGTGGATGTTGTTTCAAGGCACACATACTATGTTTTCAACTTCCTCAATTCTTCCTGAGAACATCAGTCTTTTCCATTTCGGGAATACACTGACGTCAGATGGACCAATTTTCACTTTGGACATCCACAACAAACAAGGCAGCAACAAATAGGATAAGCAGGTCGTTTCAACGCAACCTATGGCTGGACCGTATTCACTTCCTGTTTTCTTTCCTGT